GATAAACCGAAATGTTAGAGAGCGCGGGCGTGTTGGCGAATCGGAGGCCCAAATCTGCCGCGTGCTTCGGCGCGGGTGCCGCGCTCCCAAGTCGTTAATCTAAGTTTTTTTTTCCATCGGCGACGCGCATTCCCGAACTAATACGTCTATATACTTCCGATCTTCTCCGCGAAAGGATAGAATACTCCAGAGCGCGCCAAGAAGTTGCACACCTGTGCGCTCGCGCGCCTCAGCCTCCTCCTGCATATATCCTTATCGCCCCGGCGCTTTTTCTCCTCCTTGCTGCCTTTATTCTCCCTGGCGCGCGCGCTCTTTGTAAAGGAGACGCGAATGCTGCGTTTCCCTCTGGTGCGCGTTCGAGTGCACATTTTCCTTGTCCTCTTTTGTCTCTGCGCTCGTGAGAATCAATGTGCCGCGTTTCACCGTCTCGTCTCTCGTTTTGCCGACTGCCCGGCCGACTCGTCTTTCGCTAGGAATTCGGATGCGAAGGGGTATTGGGTGGCGCAAAGAGGCGAACTTTTGCATGCAAGTTTTTTCATTTCTTTTTTTTTTTTCAATCGGACGCCGTGTCAAGTGTCCCAGGATTCTCTCGATAATGGACGAGACTCTACGCAAGCTCCATTGCGAAATTCCACGGTCGCTTTGTCTTCGGTCTCTTTTTCTTCTGATTTTTAAATGCATACCGCTGGGATTCCAACGCGAAAATAATTATTGGAACATTCGCCTGGTTGTAATCACCGACCGGCGCGTATAATATCGGAGCTTGCTCCGCTTGATATCGCGCTCGCTCTCTCCGACCAAATCTAATTCCCAGGCTTTTCCTCGGAATCGCGATGCTCGCAGCGTCAATCATGGCTCCATTGGTCGGACGATAACTCGCGAAGGGAGCCACGAATCCTGATAAAGTACAATGGCTCTTGGCGCGAAGGATCATCCGAAATAAAAAAGAAAATGCGCGAGCGATCCCCTCCTCCTTTCTCTTTTCCTTCAAAGGAAACGCTCGTTGCTTTGGGCCCTCTAAATCGACTAATATATTCTTCTTTGACGTCGACGGGCAGCGTTGAAACGCAACGCCTAATCGAATTATTACCTTCGCGCACTACCCAACGTACCCAGAGTTATTTCTCTCTTTCTTTTTTTTTCTCCTTTTTTTGACCAGACGAAACGATTCGGTGTCCGGATCTTTCTTTGTATCGACGATCGGTGTGCTGTATATGTATATAAAGAAAGAGAGTGAGAGAGAGCCGTCTTTTTCCTTCCGCCGACGGCCCTTTGATACTCCCTAAAACTTCCTTCCCCTTCGTGCTGCACGCATACGGCGGATCCTTTATCCCCATCGAGCTACACACAGCATCTTCTTTTACGTGTGTGTTTTGTTGCGGCGATACGGCCATCGTCGGGAAAAGTCGGTGCACATTTTCAACGCGCACAACGGGGGTAACTGCGTGCCCATCGCGCATATGTCGTTCCCTTTCTTTTCCAAAATACGTCGGTACGATTTCGTCGTGAACGAAGGACCGATGAGAAAGAAAATTCATAGTCGAGTATGATGTACGACAGAAGGGAGCGATGACCAGAAAAACTCAAAGAAAAAGAAGCCACGGGTATGAATCACACTCGAGCTCTGGAATCAAGTGAAAACGAATTTCCGAGACTTACGATGAAAGTGTCGCGAGCTTTCGAGCTGAAGACCCTCGCGAAATCAGTCAGTGTTTTAGCTGCCTTTTTTGTCTCTGACGAGAGTGCGCTCTTTATTTCCACGAGAGAGACTACATAGAAAGTCGATTCGACGTGGCGGAAAATTGGTTGACAACGGTAAAGTCCAGTTGTCGTTCAACGCAATTAGATACTTCAAGTGAGCCGAACGACGATTGATTGAACATGCAAGTGACCGACAAATCTTTCGTTCGTCGATAGCTTATCGCTTCGCTATAATCCGGCGATAACGAAGTAGTCCGTGCGAAGACGGAGATGAAAGAGATTGCGAGAGCGCTCGTCGTGGATCACTCCTAAACGAACGCGCGCATAATCAAGATTAGAATTCCGAAGAAAGAAACCGACACAATCGGTCGTCGCACGGGGTGCACTCGCCGACGGCGAGCTATCTCCTGAAAAGAGCGCCTTTGCAGGAGTTCGAAACGAAGGGTTGGGGGGAGTGGCTGCGAAGGCTTTGTGCTCAGCCGGCGTTCCGTGCGCGCGTGGCCTTAGCGCAGCGCCCCGGGATCGCTGTAGCGTGCGCGCGCGCAGCAACTTCGGTACTCGACAAGGCAGATTCGATTTAGAGCCTACGGGGGGCTGTAGCGCGGCGCGCCAGGCGCGCCTGCATTGGTACGTACGTACGCCTCGTGGCGGCGGCTTTGCCCTAGCGCTCTCCGAGTCGCGAGGCCGAATTTTCGCCAACGAATTCACGAGTTGCGATCCGAGGCCGCGCTCGCCGGACGCCGACCCGCGCACTTGCCGCTCGCTCCTCGGCGATAAGCTCGATTGTGCTCGCGAGCTCGCCCGATGAATTACGCATTGTCTCGCGGATGAAAACGAATGGCGAGATTACGCAGATTTTCCAGAGCGAGACAAGGAGAGAGCGTCTTAGACTGGCGAGGAGCGATGGGAATATTATTCCGATCGTTTCGAAAGTTGTGCGAATTTGTACCATTTACAAGGGAGGAAATAAAATGACCCAACCGCGCAAGATGCAAGCATATCACCGCTGATGCGGGAGCGCATTTTCATAATTGTACTTGCTGTGCGCGATGCTGTCAACGACGAAAAGTGTTTTTCTCGTTCGCGTGCTTCCATTCCGCCCCGACGCGAGCGACGTACTTTTGGACGAGTGCGTCTCATTGTCAGCGCAAAGTGTATCGCGCGCGCGCACAAAAAAAACAAGATAAGTAATTCTTCGCCCGGCAGCATAGGGGCGCAGTCCAATTCACGTGGCAGCCGAATTCACGAGTCGAATTGTTAGTAGCGGGCGCCGCGGCGCCGTTGCCGCTGGAATTGTTGACGAATGTTTCTCGCAGCGCGTGGGGTATCTCGGCGTGGAAAGAGTCGCGGAATTAATTTTCACAATGCCCGGAATCCGCATGAATTTACCACGGGTAAGAGAGAATAAAGTGGCCGTGGCGCGTAGTCGACTGCCGACGTGCGCGCTTAATAAGGTGATGCGGTTTTTGCCCCTCTGGCTCGAACAGGGATGAACGTTCTTTTTTTGTCTTTCGTCGCGTTCGTCGAAATATGTACAATGTTGAAAGAGAGAGAGAGAGAGAGTAAGCTTCAGCGTTTGCTTCACGCGTGAGGAGAAAAATTTCATTATGAAATTCAGTTTGCGTTTCCAACGCTATAGGTTTATTAGTTTCGTGCATAATTAACGAGTAATTAATCCACCTATTTCTCCCTCTTCTCTCTCTCTCTCTCTCTCTTTCATTTTTCGCTATATGAATATTCAGTTCTACGTGGTTAGTTTTTATTAGAAATCAATTTCAATGAAGTCTAGAATTTATAATGTTTACACCGAAATTTAAATAGGGGGTGTGCTTATACATCTGCTTCAGGATAGAGAAGGCGTTTTCGCTTCCGAATTAGCCTATCAGAATTTCCGGAAATTTACAATTATTCGTTTTCCCCTGCATATGTTCCTTCGTCCTCTAGCAATAGGAAATGCCTTTTCTCGGAAGCCCTAATCGTTTGCTCAACATTTGTTAACTTCGAGAGATCGATTCGAGAACTGTTTCGCGAGCTAATTTTCCATGATCATACTTGTAAGGTGAAACGGAAAAACTATTTGAACAGACAGGAGCTGATTCGTAGACCAGCAGTGAAACTCGAAAACGTACGCGCAGGTCTAATTTTTATTCCGATTGCGCGCTTAAAAAAAAAAAGAAAAACACGCGCACGCTGAACCTCCACATTACATGTAATTTAAATAAACTTTTTTATACGGAGTGAAGACGCCAATTATTCGAAAGGAAGAAAGAGAGAAAGAGAGAGCAAATCAATGAAAATCTCATTCCCATGGCAATTTCGGAAAAATAACCCGTGGAAAATTGCACTACACAACTCTGGCGTTCAAAATCATCGTTACGCGCTTTTATCTCAGGGTATGAAAATTTCTCGTCGAGAGAAAAAATTTTTTTTCCTGCCCATCTCGGAAATACCCCGTGCGCTCGAGCGCTCCTCCGATCGACTCCGTGCCTCGGAGCGTCACCCTTTTTTTCATGTTAGCTCGACAACTTTCGCACAGTCCGAGGGGAAAATTGGCTTCGAGTTATGCGCGGGCGGAGAGCGGTCGGTCCGATAAACCTATCTACCCACCATAATGAGAAAAACTTTTGGAAAAAGGCTACACTAGACATACTGCAATGCATATCGCAGCAAGAGAGCGCGGCGATTGATTTTCCTAGCACGCTTATTTCATGGAAACTATGCAAATGCCGGCGCAGACTCTTTCATTCCCTCTTTTTTTTTTCTCGAAAAAAGGCAGTTCGAGGCGATACCGTGCCGATACTTTTCTTTTCCTCTTTTTCCTTCACCAGGTATACAGATCCGATCGATGTGATATAAAGCATTGTATAGGTGCGACATTCTCGTTGCTTTCTACTTTTAACTGGCCTTATTTTTCGTGACGATGCGCAATTTCAATTGATTTATTTTAATGATCGCATTGAGATTTCCATCTGTCGATGGATACGTGGAACTTGACAGTACATTGAAAACAATGGAAACGCAAAAGAATCCTTTGTACTTTTTCCAACAAGTTTAATAGCTTGCACGCGATACTATTTTGAAAATCCCAGCGCTACATACACTAGACCAGAGCACATACAATAGGATTACCCGATCATTTCTGAAAAAATGCACTTTGAAAGGAAATCCAATAAAGGCTCTCAGAAACTCAGTTTTTTCCTGTTAAATAACTTTGTAGATTGACTCTTTAGAAGAAAATCCAATGCGGAAAAGGCTAAAAAAATACTTTTTAAGCAAAAAGAAATAACAGGTAGGTTTTTAGTATCAAAATTTATTCGTATTCAATTGACAATATCAAGGGGAGAATGAGCCAAGGTAGGTATCCATAAAATAATTTTACATTGACGAATTGACGGTGATATAGCACCGATTGTTTTTTTTTTACGTTCGTATTTCATTCGCTCTTAGCACAAGAAATAACATCTATCTGACTATTACTGTTCAGACTCACTCAAAGAATTATCACAAATTGTTTAAAAAACCTTTTATTTTCGCTCCATTTGATAAGCATAAATTTTATTATGTTCTACTTTTATTGGTTCTCATTTATAAATTTATGGAAATTTATTTATCGATAATATTTATGGAAATTTATTACTTTTCCGACTTTTATGGTTTATTTTTAAATAGCAATACACTATACGGCTACTTAAAAATAATTTATACATTTCATAACAAACGAAATCAAATAGTATATATGTACTTCATACATATATATGTATGAAGCTATATCTGTCTATAAAATTAGTTAAAATTTATTTGTTCCTTGGCTATCTCATTCCGCGAAGTAAACACTGATTTTACTGTAGGATCTTATTCCGACCATTCATTCCTGATTCCACATTTTTATAACAAGACCAAGTTGTAAATGTCATTAGATAAAACTATGTATAATCAACTATCAAAAAGAAAACAATAAGATATTTACAATATAATCAGATAAACAAGGCAAGCCTTCACAAAACTTTCTCATGAGGATGGCATAAAAAGGACATCGACGTAGCCACAGGGGAAAAAAAAGGATTGCAGCAGCAGCTCGCCGAGTCACACAGAGAAAAGATAGAAAAAATTTGCGATCGAGTTGCACAAACGAAGAGCGCGCTCGAGAGGGATGGCGGTAGTGCGGCGGCGAATCATCCGAACCAGTGGTTGCCCATGCATTCGCGCGTCCACGGTGCCTGGCATACCCAGCACCACTGAAAACCACAGCCAGCTCTCGTGCAGATCATATGCATGCACCCACCTACCGACAATTCACGCCTTGTTTAACTTCGAGGGGCTCCGTAGCTGACTGAGAGAGTACTGAATGTGTGTTCAAGTGTATGCATGTATGCTTAAATAACTTACCATCTCTCTCGGTGGGAGTTCGGCACTTGGGACATGGTTTTGTCGATATTTTGATCGTCTTTTTGCTCGCTTCGTCCCACTTGGCCTAAAGATACATAAAGTTCGTTATCTAATTACTCCTGTTGTCAGTACCTCAAGTCCTAGTTTTTGCTCTGTTGTTTTGTTTTACTTACGTCTTTGGCTTTCAAGGGATCCACGACATAGCTGTCACGGCTTGCGTTCGAGTTCGAGGCAGTTGGTTGATTCTCGCAGTCCCCTAAATGAAAGCCTTGCAGGCATTTTCTGCAAAATACGTACTGCAAACGGAAATTTAATGGTCAAAGTAAAATCATACGGTTAGACGCGTCGAAATATTTCTACAAAGATTGTCGTACACCACAACCACCAATGCATTGAATTTTCCGACAGTCTTCCTCCGTCATCCCATTTTCCAAGCTCGGTGGGATAATACCCATTCCGCAATCCGGTTGAGGACAAAGCAAACCACCAGCTTTTATAACGTACTCTTCTGTCCCAAATCGCTGATAACGGTCGTACTGCAGAAAAAGTGTCACTTGATTATAGAGTTGAATAAACATGTTGATCGTAATGCATTTACAGACGATACAAACCTGAGCCGAAGTCAAGAGGCGGAAATGATGGATTTCACGAATGAAAGAGTTTGCACAACCCGCGGGGCATGGAAGTGTGTAATAACCTGTCTCGCCGTCGAAAACAAATTGACGCTCTTGCAAACGAACTGTACAATAGTCGCGAAAGCAGTCTAAACAAGTCACATGACCTGCCTCACATGGGAATACTAAAACTGTGTCTCTGAAATACATTTCACGATAACGATTACATTTTTTATTAAGAATTGCAAGGTTTGAAAATGTCAAAACAATAAACAATATCAAATAAAAGTATGTTAACAAACTAGATATTTATGAAAATAAAAACAAATAAAAAATGTTTTATTATATATTTTGTTAAGCTTTTAATTACTTTTATACTTACTTTACATCTGTACAAGCTAAACATGGAATTTTAGCGAGATTAGGTTTGATTAAATACAATGGAACAGCTTCATCTTTCTCTCCTAAGCTGGCATGATTTGCACATTTGAAAAAAAACTGAGCAAAATTAATTTGTGAATCCGTCTCTCCATCATTTGTCATTAATGTTTGGCAGTATTGATTTTCACAGTGGACAGTTATCCTTTTAGGCATTAAGACATCAGGCCAACTTTGAGGATCTTGATCAACAGTGACAGCTCCACTACCACAGTCTGCACAACGTACCCTCAACTTTCCAACATGCACTGATTTACAAGGAGATGAACAATAAACATAAAAGTGGGCCTTTTTACTTTGACCTTCCTCTACCTATAATTGGCAGCAAACATATTTGACGCAAGCATTAGATTTATTAAGAAATATTTTTCCAAGTATATTTACTTTATTTTTCCCATCCTCATTTGATTCTTCAAATGATAAATCATTTAGCGTTTCATTCATAGGCTTACTACCTCCACTATCATCTAAATCTGACTCAGAAATTGATTCTCTTATTATATTGCTAGGTAAATTTAAACTATTTTTATCTAATCTTTTTGGTGTTTTGACTGCATGAAGAATACTTTGCTGACCTAAGTCGCACTCCTGAAATCATGTAACTAGATTACAAAATCTTTTACTTGAACTACGATGAATATGCAACAAATAAAACCTCGATTATGGTAGAATTGTGTAGTTCCTTTCCAGCGAAAATAATTTTTATGTCGTCGGGCGAGATTCCCATTTTTGGCGCAACAATTTCTTTGACGTTGCGTATGTCCCATTTTGGATCTAAATCTACAGCAAGTGTATTTCCCGTATTGGTTTTAACGTATATACTTAATGAATTGGAGATTTTCCGCTTTCCAAACCAAATTAACTGTAACATTCTGAGAAATACATTTTTGACGAAAGTAAAGATGAAGCTCATTCCTAACCTCAAACATCGAAAAACACTGCGCGATTCTCGGAACGAACTACTATATGTATGTATATACGTGTAAACAATGGAACATATGATTATATCCACATTAAACATTAAAATTTTGCTTTTAATTGTCATACATAGTATGAATATTGAGTCATCCATTTTTTTAAAGATTATGATTGTCGTAAGATTCGCGATTTTATTAATATAAAAAAATTACTTTTAATACGACTCATTGAAAAATTTTTTTACAAATTATATTTAAATGAACATTACTCGAAGCAATCAAACATGGATTTATTTAAATATAAATTATTCAGGAAAAAGGGTACAGTAAATAAATACAATTAACAAATTCCTTGAACAAAGTTTATCTTAGTCTCCAAATAAAAATACAGTTTTGCTTAAATAAATTTAAGTAATAATTGTGTACTTATTACATACGAGACGCTGACGCATAATTTCTTTTTTATTTCTGTTCATTGTGAAGGTGACGATCGCTTAAATCCTTTATTCATATTTTGACAATACAAAAAACTTATTTTTCTTCTTCTCTCGATCCGATGAATGTATACACATAATAAATACAGGAAAAACGTGACGTTTCAATTAATTATTTAAGATAGTAATGATATTATTTCAATAACGTTTGGCGCATTCTTAAAAGATCCTTATCTAGTGAAAATTCAGCTAGAAATTGTGTGATTTACGAAAAATAAGATTACACAGCGCGCTAGTCATTCATTCTCCCGGCAACAACCAAGAACGAAGTGCCTTAGATACCGTGAGTCGTCCATTTATCAATGTATCGATGCAAAGTTTGTCTTTCAAGTTACTCAAGCTGCAACGAACAAAAAACACCAACGGTTACTTTGCTTTTTTTCTGTTGCTTAGAAAAGTTTCTATGATCAATATGAACCTGCAAAACCTTGAGGTGGTTGCCCGGGTACGGAATATTGTGGCCTAAAGTTCCCAAAATTAGCAGCTCCGGCAAATGTGGCTGGTAGCTGGCCACCGGTGAAGCCAGGAGGGAATTGTTGTGCCAACAGGGCGGCTTGACCGGTCTGCGTACTGTTCCCACCAGGAGTCGTTGCAGCTAATCTGCTCAAGATCGAGCGCTCGGACATTTGCAGTCTCTGCGCTACTGGTGGTATACGCGCCAAGGTAGCTGGCAATCGACTTACATCGGACTTCATGTCGGAAAGGAGTTCTTCTAATTGATTAAGCACCTGAAACAGAAAATATTATCGATAATTTAATATTCAGTATAAAATATTATTTAATAACCTATCAGTCATAAATTTCTTATACCCGTAACACTTTTGTTACAAAAATTCCATGTTCTGTAGCTTGAATTAAAACTTGTAACTCTTAAAATCAAATGTAAGAATTGAAGAAACACTCGTGAAAAAATAAAGGAGATATTCAAACAAATAAAAACACTTTCAACTAAAAGCCATACCTTATGCAACACTGCATTAGCAGGTTTGTTACCAGCCAAACTCTCTTTGCTCAGATGTTGATGAGATTCAGCCAAACACTCAACCTCGGCGAATTTGGCATTGAGACTCATAGCTGGATGGTTAGGATCTTGAGTGAGATTAAGATAGGCAGCTCTGCGCAACTGTTCTTCAATTACGAGAGCCTGCTCAAGAAGCTTGAATCTCCTGGCCAAAAACTTGTTTTTGATCTCGAGGAAATTGCCTTTACCAACGTCCATTTTGAATGGTTCATTGATGATTGCGAACCTAATGTCATTTTGAATATCTTGCCAACGACCATAGCCGTGAGTGACGATACCAGCAAGCAGCCAATAGTCATGTCGCCTGTGCCAGATTTCATACTCGCGACCAGGAACAGCAGCCTTCTCCTCGTTAAGCCATAAAGTGTGCAACTCGGTGAAGCCACCATCGGCGATGTTAAACATAAATTTGCGTTTAGTTTTTTCACCATCTTTATCATCTTTGCCTTCCTTATCCTTAGCGTCTTTATCTTTATTTTCGTCTTTTTTTTCGCCAATCGCGGCTTCTTCCTCATCATCTTTCACAATTACAACCTCTTCATCGGCATCTGACTTGGCTTTAGTTTCCAAGTTTTCAACAGGCTTCTGTAAACAAATTTTAATTTTTAGAATCTCGCCTAACAATTTTTTTATTAAACTTAAAAATATAAATTACATACTTCATCTTTAAGGTTTTTTTCATCCTTCATATCGGTCTTCTCTACCTCCTTAACTTCAGGTTTTTCTTCTTTCGCCTCTGCTGATTTTTCACCTTCAGCTGAATCGTTCTCATCCTCCAGTTCTTCTCTTTCTTTACCCTCTTCGTCCTTCTTTACTTCTGACTTCTCGTCCTCTTTGCCTTCCTCTTTGACAGTATCACTAGAGTCCTTTTCTTTGCTCTCTTCATCTCCAGCTTCTTTGTCCTTAGCGTCTTCTTTCGTGGCGTTCTCGGTGGTTGGAATCGCTGACGCAGCTGTAGGCGTAGGCGTCGCAGCAGGGCTCGGACTTGGTGCGTTTGACGTAGCTGGAGTGGCACTGGTGCTGCTCGTTGATCCTGTAGCTCCATCGTTCGTCGCCGCAGTGGCTGTGGCATTTACAGTTGGTGGTACGGCGGCACCAGTTGCATCAGCAGGCTTTACTGGCTCTACCGGTTTGCGGATTACCTCGGGCATCGAATAATAACCGTTAATATGCTCAAACTCTTGCACCTTCTTGCGAATCAGTGACATTACACCGATACGAGTCAATACATGTTGACGACTCAGTCCTTCGCGCGGTACACCATCGGCGAAGGTTTCCGCGTTGTCGGCGCCAGGTTCGCATAAGTGACGCATGAAGAGAGATACGTAGGCTTTGAAGTTCTTCTCCGATTTGCCTAAAGAAGAATAAAACAATCGTTTAGAAATACATTTTTCATTCATTCATTCATTCATTCATTCATTCATTCATGCACGTACGCACATACACAAACAATACCTAAATTTTTATTATTAAAACATTTTTCTTTTATTTTTTTATACAATATTAATATAACATCGTCAAGCTAATTTTGCTATTCATCAAGTCAACGCGATTGTAAAACTTGATTGCATTTGTCGTTAAAAAGATCAATGCTATAAATATTCACTGAAATGCGAGCATAAATTAGTTTAGGAATGATTCCTGTAAATAAAGTCAGATATTCTTACAGCCATTAAAAAGTTATTAGTAGTGATTGGTACAGCAATAAAAATATTTCATGTAAGCGTAAATTGAACTTTGTAATGCTCTCCATGATGAGCAGATAAGCATATTAAAACATCTTAAGCATTTTCCAATTTGCAAAATCATAAACGTAGGAGCAAATGGCATGCAACAAGGCTAATGAAAGCCGTGTATCATAGAAACAATGAGTATAACGCATACCTCGTAAATCTCGAACGAGCCACTGCGAGTTGAAAGCGTCCTGCGGTGGCATACCATATCGCATGATCGCATTGAGGAATGCCTTTCTCTGACGAGCATTAAAACCGAGGACTTCGATGTTGCCGTTGACCCTGGCAAGAAGTGGCGGCAAAGGACGATCCTTCTCATCGCGTCGTTCGAGTCTGCGTCGACTGCGCCTTGAAAGCAAATCACCGTCGCCCTTTTCATCAAAGTCATCGTCTTCTTTATCGTCGTCGCTTGGTGCACTAAAGTCGCTATTATAGTCAGACATATTATCTTGCCATGGCTGATCATCACCGCGACCTTGTTCTCCAGTCACACCACCGTCGTTGTAGTTTACCTGCAGCGACAAAAAAAAAGCAAACTTTAGTGACAAAGTTTTAAAATCATGGATAATTTAAAAAACACAAGCAAAACTTTTAAAAAGTAAAAAAAAGTAACAATCTGTTTTTTAATTCTAGAGAAGTTACTGAAAGCAATCATCGCGAGCAAACTTAGCAAAACTATTTTCGCGATAGAATCAAATTGTAAACATTTTGGAAAAAGGTCGATCTAAAAAGGCTTATCTGAACTACTTATGTGATAAGAAAAGCAGAAAAATTTAGCTCAGCTAGAATATAAAATACAAGTATTCTAAGTGATGAATGGATACTAAAAATATTGTTAATGAAAGTATGAAGTGAATCAAAATGGAAAAAGTCACAAACCAGTGCGAATTTAGTACGTTAATACTAGGACAGAGTAAAACACACCAAGAGAATTCAAAAAGGTATAAAAATAATAATATGTTGTTTAACGCACATATCGGCATACCTGCTTCCTCACGCGCTTGCCTTTACCGAGGGTCCGAGCAATGTCTTCTTGTTGTTGTTCGTAGTGATGTCTGAGCAGTTTAATCCAGTAAGCTGGATCGGTGTTCTCAGCTTCTTGTTTGATAATTTCAGTATCAGCTTCCTCTTCAGCTTCGCCTTCTTTTGTAACGTACGACGCGACCTTGAACGAGCTCAGGTACTCGTTAGCCCAGTTCTCCTTCTGCTCAATACCTTCCTTACTCCTATCCAACAATTCGGCAACAGCCTTGTCATCATAGTGAATAGCTTCGTCTTCTTTACCCTCCTCTTCTTTAAAAAGTTCCTCAGTACCGAATCGAAGAATATCATCGAGTTCTTGTTTGCTGAAGTTGGCACCTTTACCACCCATACCGGGTCGCACGACCAGATGGGTCAGCATCATCTTACGCTTGGCAACCTGAGTGACACGCTCCTCGACGGAATTACGGGTGACGAATCTGTAAATCATGACCTTGTTGGCTTGACCAATGCGATGAGCACGACTGAAAGCTTGGATATCGTTGTGCGGATTCCAATCTGAATCATAGATTATCACAGTATCGGCTGTAGCGAGATTGATACCCAAACCACCAGCTCTAGTCGACAGAAGGAACACAAACTGTGGAGCGCCTGGAGCATTGAATCTGTCAATCGCTTCCTGACGCTGAGTTCCCGTAATGTTACCGTCGATTCTTTCATACTTGTAACCTTCGCCCTCAAGATAATCTTCTAGGAGATCTAGCATTTTTGTCATCTGCGAGAAAATCAACACTCTGTGGCCATCGTCGCGCAGTTTTTTTAACATTCTACTAAGCAACACAAGTTTTCCAGCGGCTTTGATCAAGGCCGACGTCTCGTAATTGCCATTAGGTCCAGTCGGCGCCTCTTGTGACGCTGCTGGGAACAGGTACGGGTGATTGCAACATTTCTTCAAGTCCATCATAATGTTCAAAAGTGAAACCTGTTGGCCTCCGCCTTTCGGGTTCAATGCCTCGAAGTTTCGGGTTAAAATATATTTGTAGTACTTCTTTTGCATTGGTGATAGTTCTACTCGCACGATAAACTCGGATTTGCTGGGCATGTTCTGTAATGAACAAAAAAATTTTATTAGTAATCGAACAACGATACATGAATTTTAGCGTTTGTAAGCTAAATAAAAAACGTACTTTGAGCACATCAGCTTTCAAACGACGCAGCATGTGCGGTCCTAACATCTCGTGCAATTTTTTTACTTGGTCTTCTTTCGAGATATCAGCGAATTCGTTCTGGAAGGCTGCCAGATCGTTGAACTTGTCACGGCATAAGAAGTTCAACAAGTGGAACAATTCCTCAAGGTTGTTCTGTAAAGGCGTACCAGTGAGCAGTAGTTTATAAGCGATGTTGTAAGAAGCAAGAAGTCTGAAAAATTTGGATTGATTGGACTTGAGACGATGAGCTTCGTCGACAACAAGAACTGCCCAGTCGATAGAACCCAGGCAAGCAGAATCAATAGAGATGAGTTCATAACTAGTCAGTAAAACATTAAATTTGATTGACGACGAACGAATCTTAGAGGCACGTCCACCTCGGACTGCACCCTCTTCGAAAGATAACTCATTCTCACGAATCACCATACGGCTGTCCTTATCACCTGTATAAGGAAAAAAGTTATCAAATTGGCTGTAAATTAATAAAATATATTTAACAAAATTCTTCAACTCACCAACATAAGTAACGCAGTAGAAATCAGGTGCCCACGTTTCAAACTCTCTCTCCCAATTAATAATAGTAGAAAGTGGTACTGATACTAAGAATGGACCCTTGCAGTGGCCCTCTTTATAAAGTGAATATAAAAATGTAATAGTCTGGATAGTTTTTCCAAGACCCATTTCATCGGCAAGAATGGTGTCAATGCCCTGACCCCATGAATATCTCAACCAGTTTAAGCCCTAAAAAAGAAAAATTTAATATTTTAACCGAACTTGAACCTATATTTAGTAGCTAAAACAGAAACGCGATTCACCTCCAACTGATAAGGGTGTAGCTGCATTCCCGTGACATCCAAATACTCTGGTTGCCTTTCAAATTTTCTCTTCAAATCGGTTGTGGGTTTTTCAGGTGGTGGAGTATACCTCCGTGGTGCTCTTTCCTCATCGTCGATAATTTCCTTCGTCTTGGACTTCTTGCCTTTGCCCTTCTTGCCCTTCCTTGATGGCGGCCCATCAGCGCAATTAGCCGCTCGCAAATCCAAGTAATACTCGATGGCCTGCTTAAGGCCCGGAATGTCTGCGTTTTCATCCTCCCACGTAGCCTGATCATAACCTAGATCTCTCCACTTGACTAAATATAATGCCCGACCATCACGTTGTAGTCTGTGATTGATCACACGGTGAACAATCAGCCACTCAGGTCTGACACCGTAATTGTAGAAACGCTCATCAAGATTGAGCTCCTGCTTATCCCCAGCCGCTTTATCCATGTCCTTACGTCGCTTAACGCGGCCATCACCTTCGTCGAGTGGCTCTTCGAGCTTTGGTGGCTCATCCATATCATATTTGCGAGAATAATTTCTGTACATGAGCGGATGAAAGACATCGAGCTGTAGCTCAGTCACCCAGTCGCAGTACCAGTACGACCTTTCCACCCATTTAACGAAAAACTCGCGAATCCTGCGCGGTTTACCAGACGACTTGCTCGTCGATGGCTCGTCCGCGTCATTAACTTCTTTCCAACGCCACGTTAAAATTTTCTGTACTTTGCCGAAGATCGGTGGACAAGAACAGCGAGGACACTTCCAGTCACCGTCTGGTATATCATCCAATGGTGGATTCAGACAATGAGTATGATAGGCGCTAGTACAACTGTCGCAGCACAACAACTCGCCACCGTCTTTGCACACTCGGCAAAATTCCATATGTTCGTCGTCATCTTCCGCGGCACCTTGAAAAGAAGTTTCTCAATCAGTTATATATTTGTTTCGTAGATATGAATAAACAAACTAATCTTTTTACCTTCGTTCTCACAGTGCGGACAACTCCATTTTCCTTCTGGCGTTTCTTCCAACTCAGGTTCCAAACAAACCAGATGGTAAGCTCGAGGACAGGTATCACATAAAATAATTTCTCCACCTTGCTGACATACTTCACAATAGTCTTGATGATCAGTCTACAACAAAAAGTTTGTATCATTTCATCGTCCTTAAAAGCAACCAAAAATATCATTTATGTTCTTACCTCTCCATCTGGAAATTTAGACGCGGTCTTGGCTTTCTTTTTCTTTTTACTTTTATTGCCAATTTTTGTTTTGGCCTTTTTGCGTACGGGTGGCTCAGCCGTTGCTTCGGCACTATTTTCCTCTGCCTTTGAATTTTCAGAAGGTGGCACATCCTCGGCGTCAGCTAACATCTGCTCAAATTCCATGTCAGAGTCCCTATCAGAGGCTGGTCCACTACCTTCGGCTTCCTCATCCTGTAACGCAACATAAACAAAATAAATAAGCATGTGTTAAATTATATAAATATTTCTTGTAAAACTGTAACTTACCGAACTTCCTCGCTTACGCTTGCCTAACTTAATCTTAAGAGTTGGAACTTTCGAAGTTTTCTTGCCTTTCTTGGCCCTCGAACTGCGCGATTTCTTTTTGCGATCGCTGTCCTCATCTTCTTCATCTTCATCGTCGTCCTGGGTCACTGCACTGCGATTATTTCTCGCATTTCTGCCGTCGTCGTCGATTGATTGAGTCGAGACATCGTTTTCAGGCTGCGTATGTGGGTTCATCTCGGAGAAATCTCTCCATTTAGCTGCTACCAACATCATCAACTTCGACATCGGTACCTGTTGATAAAAATTGCATATTTGTTGTTTGTTGAATGTTTGTTGAATATTTGTTAAAATTGCACATTGTCATTTCAATGATTGTCACACGTTGACGAGAAAAAAATCAATTAATCGTTTACCTTAGGATTTTCCTTAGCTAAAAGCGGTCTGACATGCTGTTGGAACAATTTGTAGGTAGTAAGATTCTGGAAATCAGCATCCGAGTATTCGATAGCAACGTCGGTAAGACCAAATGTGCTGCAGACCTCATCTATCGTTGGCATACCGGCAGCCGTTTCTTGATGGCTTTGCGTCGAGGCTGCTGAGGAAGCTGTGGGAGTTGCCGCTTGATGACTCGACGACTTCCTTGACGAGGATTTGCGACTTTTGCGATTTGACGCGTAGTCACTGTCCTCGCCGGCTAACTCGGCATTGTCTCCACCGCCAAAATCACTTTCCTACGAAGACACGATAAAACTTAATCGAATTACACAGATAGATAAAATAAGTTACCATAGGCTTTTTTTACTTACATCACCCGAGTCAGACTTTTTCTTTTTCTTTTTCTTCTTGCCCTTTTTGTCTTCACTTCTAGCTTTTCGCTTCTTTCCCTTCTTTTTCTTACGTTCTTCGGGCTCATAATCGTCGTCTTCCTCCTTCAAAAAAGGTGAAATCCCCTTTACAGCTATTTTACAGTTACGAATTTCACTTCCAAATGTAAAAGTGTAACTTACGACTCTCGGAGCCTCTTCATTATCTGTTGAGCCTTCCACTGTTTGACCAGCATTTGACACTTGATTTCCAGTATCTTCCACTTCATCTTCTCCTACAATTAAAAAAAAAGGATATTCGATTGAGTATACTATTACAGTGACCCAAGCAGATTATCTAAAAAATACGTTCGAGTGTACAAGAATTAGCGAAACCATACGACGAAATTCAACATACTCGCAAGTAGTACATCTTCCATCGTTGCGTGATAAATTTCACGATGTTGAAAAAGAAAAAAAATTAGTAGTAGGTTCTTTTGAGCTATATGTCGCGAAAAGCAAAACATGCACGAGCCAGAGAAGAAGGGGCTGCCGGGAAACCGTGAAAAGTCTTGCTCGCCCGCTTGCCGGCGATGCGCTTGCGGAGTGGGTGCCGGCATCTGCGCTCGGCCGCTAAGCAAATGAGAGGATATCGATTTCTGCCGGAGCCATAAGAGAGAGAGAAAGAGAGCTTGGAGTAGAGAAGGCGGAGGGCGGTGATGCGTGTACAAACGGAAAAAGCCCTATTTTTTTGCTCAAAATATCGAGATGCAAAAATAAAATACAAAAAGACCGTTTTTGTTTTCATTCGAGCGTCTGTCACACTTGAGTAAGCTAGTTTAGAAGAGCGTCGGGGAAGGGTAGGGGGAAAGGAGGGAAAACCGTTATAATGTACATCCGTGGCAGAACTCTCTGGCTTTCGGCGTCTGTTTTTCCTGCACGAGGGGAAACTAGAGAGAGAGAGAGAGACAGAGAGAGAGAGAGAGAACGGCATGTGCAGAGTGGTGGGGATATACGCGCTGTACACCACTGTACATTATGTATAAGTAGATGAGGCGTCGCCAAAAAATGTTCAGGGCTTACTAGGCGCGATGCCACGGCGAAATGAGATTTTTTTTTATCTGCCGCAGGAATAACACGCAGGGTTAATAATCTGTGGGCGAGGCTACTTAGATGAGAGAAGATGATCGCTTCGCGCGAAAATGAGAACTCAGCGGCGGTATTGATTAGTAAAATTTTCCATTCGGGCATCGCACCTATACACGGCGCCCAATGTTTATACGTATATTGTTGGAACGATTTCGTCGTCGAACGATGAACGATAAGGCCTTTCGAGGTTCATAGCGGTATATATACAGACGTTTCCTCGAAAGATAATAACTGCAAGGCCCAGTTATGACACGACGAAAAAAAAAAAAAACCTGCCTCGGTCTCGGGAAAGTAGCTGACTATAGAGTGTCGCTCACTCGCTCGCGTCCCGATTGTCCGTCTGGTCTAGTTTTCAAGCTCTTTCTTCGACGAAATCAAGCGTCCAAACAACAAGCTTGCGCAATTGCGCTCATTCGGCCGCGAAATCTTCGACTAACGCGAGTTCTGGATTGATTAAGCGAGCCGCGAGGCCCTTTTGCCGTTAAGTATTACACGCGAACGCAATGCCGGCGATCGATCTCGCGCTCGCCTGACGTTTTTGCATGTACGTATCACACGCCAATCCAGACGCGGCGAGCGCACTTTTAACGATCGCTCGCGGCGAATCGTAATGCTTTGCGCCCCGAAAAAAAGCCACAGATGCGCGTTACGCTCGGCGATCGGAAGGATGCTCCGGCCAAGTTGTCAATTACGCGCGCGCCGATCGATCGGTAAGTAGACTTTATGAGAATTGAGCCGCGTAAAGTTCACTGCGGCCATAAGGGCTGTGGAAACAAAAGTTTATCTCGCATTATTTCTACTCGCGCGAGTAAGGTAAACCGCATTGGATTAACGTCGCCAGGCGGCCCTTAACTGCCAAGCCGTTGCACGATGTACGTAACGGTGCATATCTTGCTCGTTTACTGAATAATACATGGGCGTGAGAAACGTTTTATCTGCAAACTTTAGAGTTATTAGAATTTAATATTTTATCGAGAATTATTGTACCAATTAGAGCGTTAAGAGAGAAAGAAAAAAAAAACATTGAGCACTTCAGATAGCAAAAGTTGGTAGTAGGTATTTCTTATATAATCGTTTCATAGATGAATCCGAACGCAACAAGCTTAGTGAGCATATACGAGTTTTAGAATGTGATACATCAGGATTATTTTGGAATTGAAAAAGCATCTCTCTCTCTCTCTCTCTCTCTCTCTCTCTCTCTCTCTCTCTCTCTCTCTCTCTTCGTGGCAACTAATTTTGGAGTCTAGTCCGGTATGGGTTCGCTAATAGAAACGTAACTGTTGATTTATTGTTTGTTAGTGATCGCTCGTTATTTGCTAATCGATTGGAGCTTGCTAATCATCGTTTCATTTCAGTCGAGCCGACGATACCAAACGAAAGATTCACACGCTAGTACGAAAAAAGGTTGTTTAGCGCATTAGCAAAAACCCATGTGACCAATACGAAACCAGAGCCGACCCAGAGAACGAATACAACGAAAAATGCTCGTGCAACATGCACGCACACGCACACACGCCATCTCTCAGTCGCCAATTACAAAATTCATATCTGTCTGTGAGCAGCACAGCAGCTGTCGATACATAACCAGGAGGCGCATCGCGTGCGAAACAGACGCGAAACGAGAACGAGGAGACACGGAGCGTAAAAAGGATCGGTGCTGTGGCAAAACTGCAGAGGCAGCGTAAAATTTCGTTGTGGCGAACAATGTATCTCTGGTTGAGAGATACAGGTGTATAGGTGCACATCCACGCTCACAAACGCGTACGCGTGCACACAGACTCGCCGGCCGCAAGCGATACATATATAATTAAACACACAGACACGTGTGCGCGCGCCCGCGGGAAAGAGAACGAAACGAGTAGTTGTAAATGTGTGCGTGTGTACGTCGGGCGCGCGCTTGTAGCAGCCATTTTCTTCGGAAGGGCCGCACCGTGTTTCTTTTTTGCAGCGTACCAGCACCGCTTCTCTCTCTCTCTTTCTCCCTCTCTCTATCCCTTTCATACTTTAGGAAATTTTCAGTGGAACGACAACACTCCACAATATTATGGTTTGGCAATAGTGCCATGCTGTTCCTCGGAGAGGAACTGTTTTTTAAAATTCTTACGAGTAGCAGATGATTTAAGGTTTTTTTCAAAAAGTCGCCAACGGTTCTCTCTCGCTCTATGTGAATGCGAGGTCATCTCGTGCGCTCGCACGACGCCAGCGATAATAACAACAATCGAGACGAGCGAAAATCACTAATCGCGCCGGAAAGACAAAGACAGGGAAGAGTCTCTCTCTCTCTCTCTCAAGGTGAAGCGAGAGAGCGCGCGTGAGAGAGCAAAAAGAAATCCAGAGGGAACGCGAGAGAGAGCGCGCGCGTCATGCAGAGGTTAGGCACCGAATCTGAGCAGTGTCGGTGGCGACCAAGTGAGAGCAGAGCATTTGAGGTTAAAGAGCGTGCGTGTTACGTACGTAAAAAAGTAATACTCACCGGCGAAGCTCTCGTCGACTTCTTCGTCAGACGCCATGTTAGCTGAGATACACACGCACTCGGGGTGTCAGAAATTTATTGCGAGGCAGTGTCAATTAGTCGGCGCACAATCAAGTGGCCAACAACACACGAAACTGGCGCGCACGTTATCGTAGCCACGCGCCCAGCGTCCAAGCAAACACTACAACGAAGAGAACGGAAAAAATAAGGCAACCGGCTGGTGGCGGCGAACTCTTCGGCTTCGGCTTTCGCGTCCTTTCCCTTTGCCGCGCGGATGATAACGGCTCGCGGCGCTAGCGCAGGCCAACAGCCAGCAGAGAACTCTCGCAGCAGAGTTGCGATGCATATACGACTCTCTCTCCCCTCTCTTCATTCGCCCTGCTCTTTCTCTCCCCCCACTCTCTTCACACGCGTCGCACACTTTGCATTGTCCTTCTCCCACTCTCTTGCCATCTTCTTTCTCTCTCATATTCGCGTCCCTTCGTTTCGTTCACCGCGTCCTCTTCGTTGCCACGATCATACACACCGGCTGGGTTCTAGCCCTTGGTGAAAAAACATTTTCTCTCTCTTATAGCGCGGGCAGGTGCATCATCTGTCGCTCGGTCGCTCGCTCTCGCGTCGCATCGTTTTCGCGAGTGTGAGCTGCACACCGTCACTGTTGCTGCACTTAGATCCTTTCGAAATTCGCTGCTGGGGAATGCGAAGGATATCTTACGACCGACGATATGCTTGCGAAACAAGCCGCAGTTTACTGCTGCGGACGCTTATTTTTCTTATTTCCTCTCCTGGAAGGCGCGAGAGCCGTGTTCACGGTTTTCTCTGATTGAGATGATTCTCCGCAGGCCGCAGACGATTTCGGTGCATAGCGGATGCTTTCCTCTCGACACTTGCAGCGCGCGGCAGCATTCGACGATTGTTTTGCGATGTCTTGCCGCGGGTCAACGACTCTAGCCGCGGATGCACGTCAAACGTGTTACTCATCATTTTCGCTTTGGCTTCGTGTACGTGCGACAATTGAACGAGGCACGCGAGATGTCAGTGAAATCCCAGAATGCGGCAATGCTACAACAGTCGGGCTGAAGATCTCGGCATCGGAATACATTAATAGTCATCACGAAGTCAAATTGGCGTTGCGGCGGCAGAAGCAGAGTTTTGTCCACTAGGCATCTCGATAAGAAGCGGCGCGGCATAAGTAGTCGACGTCGTCGTCGTCGTCAGCGAAGGTGACACATTTTATCTCAGCTATCTATCTCTCCTCGCGCGTAGCGTTGTCGTCTAAGAAGTCTGCTCGAAAATGGAAATCAATATGTAAGGGTCTCTCGTTCGACGCTCCTCTCCTCATTTGCAAAGTAAAATCTCTCTCCGGCGCGCCAGCGAGAGAGGAGGGAAAAGTTTCGCCCTTGTCCCCGCCTTCGCGTATATGTACACATTCTCGACTATTCGACACCGACGACGAGCGAGAGGGAGGTACGTATACACATCCACGTATACGCCACGGAAAAGAGGATCGCAATGGGATAGAGACAGACGAATGATACATCGCGCAAAGAAGACAGAGATGGGATGTATGAGCTTGAAGGGGTGACGCCGCTGGGCACCGGTATATATAGGAAAAACCCTTACGCCACGAGTGCGTGTATAGTCGATTGGGAATTAGGGGAGACAATGCCTCGAAGACGCGTGAAAAGAAATAAGAGCCAAAACGGTTAGTTTGAAATTCTTTTTTTTTTTCACGCGGATAATCATCATAACGAAACTTTTACGCTGCAGAAATGCGACAACCTGCGGTTTGCGTTCAGCGAGGCATTATTTCATTGGAAATATTTTTAAAACTTTTCAAACGCGAATTATTGATTATCGTTAAACCTGGCGATAAGTTAAATTTTACCGCAGGTGTTTTCAAAGCCATATGCTTGCATTGTACCAAGCCTGGCTATCTTGTCATTTTCGTTAAAAATTATATTCTAGTTTCTTAAACCGGAATGGTTAACGAGCAAAAGTTCTTTTTTTTTTACTTATATATCTCAGAGTCAAATGAACAAGCTCACTCTTTTAATTATAATTGTTTAAATTATGCTCGAAGGCAAAGAAAAAGCTCAACATTGCAAACAAAAATTTTTAATCGATAAATTTGCGTCATCTCGTTAAAAGCATTGAACTATATAAATTTGTACAACGTTGACTAACGCACGCGTACAGTCACACGCGAAAGAGATGCACGATAAGGAATAAAGAAAAGAAAAGCGTCGAATCCATCCGGTAGCCTTTCTGTGCGCGTACACACACACACACACACACACACACACACACACACACACACACACACACACACACACACTCAGAGTGTTTCTCACCGCAGCATGCCACCTCCTACTTCCATAGCTCCAAGCCAGTTTTCAGTTTTTTTCGTCCTCCTCGTGACGTTGTATTTTCCATCCTCCTTCTCAGGGAAAATTGCGTGGCGCGATCCTCCAAAAGTTTAGCCAATTAAACGCCCTTCGTGTAATGCAAGTTTTCGGAGAAAAAATTTGACTACATTCATGACTACAAAGTGTTCATTGTTTCAGCTTGCATATTATCGATTATTTGGAAATATTCCTGAGCTTTCTATGTTTGTAAATTTCAATATTTAATACTTTGCCCTTAGATAACTTGAACATTCATAAGATAGGTAATATGTGTGAGGAGCTGCAAATAAGTCAATATTGTGAATTTTTATCAATTAAATGTGATTTATTGTTCTTCGAATAATTTCTTTTTAAATAGATTCAAGTACTTAATTTAATAATGTTTCAGAAAGATAAATCGACTAAATTAAACATATTCGTGAATTTTAGTAAAAAGTATTTGTATCAACCAAATTGTACAGTATCGTAAAATATGATATAGCTAATTCAATTTTCAAATTTGTGCGTGCATTTGACAAAAAATTAAAAATATCTAATACATGAAGAAAAAAAACAGTTATATGATAACTATTAACAAAACGCTCCGTTTAACAAAATAATAAAATCAGTAACATAGCGTAATGATACAAATACTTTTATGTATTGATTTCGCAAACATCGATGACCCAGAAGTGTTATGATATTAAGGACAAATTTTGGCAACATTATTTTGTTTCTAAAATGATAAATAACATGAGAAAAACACGGAAAAATATAAAAATTCATGTCATCATTTACAAAACATGATTTCCCCATCAAAATAAAAGTGACTAAATTGACAGCGATAAAAAAAAGACAATATAAATACTTGCAAGCATACATGTGAAAATAAATCAGTCTAAATGCTATATAGTCTACATTAGGAATGTTCGCGTCGAATAAACTCAAATTTATTACATAGCGAGTTATTAAAATCTACTTCAAAACTTACACGATTATATATAATATATAGTATTTCGATATAATAATACTTTTTTACTCGAATAACACGTATAATTTTTTTACTTTTTCATTTTATCATTTTTACTCTCTTCAGTCGACGGAACCGCGTCAAATGGGGCTTATTGTATAGATCGCTCTTTATAAATGGCTTTCGATAATTTACAATTAGAATATTATAGCAGTTACCTGTTAAACGGGTAAAAGGGGCTCGGAAGCGCCTGGCCTCAGACTATCTCATTTTATACGACATTATATTAACCAGACATTTTTCATTCTTGTTTGTTCTTCTATATTTATACAAGGGCATATGACTATCAATTGAATGGCTGTACGCTTATTTGCGTTTCTCTACTATTTGTTTTGTGAAAAATATTTGGCAAATAGTCTCATTAGCTTTTGAATGAAAGAAAATGTACAATATTATTACTAAAAATATACTGTGAAAATCTTTCTCTCTGTACTTGTTGATAGATTTAAAAATGAATGTTTCCAGTAGAATCTATCATGTGTAAAGCTAGTAGCCCCATATTATACAAAAAAAGAAACTTTAAGCAGGATATATTTTGCTATATGAAGCTATAGACAAGAGATATAGTACTGTCTCAGCTGTCTAATATTTAAAATAGCTGGCTCTTCCAAAAACAGAAGACTATCTTAAAAATACAAATATATAGAATAATATTGAAAGGTCAATGCATCGATGGTTAATTTTGTTTTAACAATTTAGCTTGTTGATATATACGAATGTATATTTACACAGATATACACATGACATTATATACATGTATATATACAGATCAACACTGCCAAATAAAAAAAATAAATTAACCATCGGCTAAATATTCTAATTTGTCTCATCCATAATCAACAGTTAAAGTGCTCAATCCCTTCTTCTTGATAGCTTCTGCAACAGCACGATCCAAGAAATTTTGCTGATGATCACTGTCATAAGTATCATCCAGCCAATCACCTGAAAGAAAATTTATTATCATTAAGACCACATCTAAATTAAACACTTTGGAATGAAGAAAAAACAAAAATACCTTTACCACTTGTACTAGCTGCCTCTGAATCAATTAACAGTGGATTGGTAGTTGCAGTTGTTGTAGGCGCTTGTGTGTTTTCAGAGTTTTCAGGAACATTGGATATACATTCATTGACGAGAGAAGGTGATTGAGTTAAGTCCAATGATCGAACTAAACCATAATTACGGATAGCCATTGACACAGCAGTATCCTCCATTTGATTATCTTGGAAGAGACGATACCATGGATCTTCAAATGGATATGAAGCTGGTGGAGATATTATATAATTTTCAAGAACACGGTTAATAGCATCATCTACAAATCCTTTGGCTACTTGACAAGCTTGCCAGCTATTTAATTTGGCTCTTGCTCTCCTGTCTTCTTCTTGATCAATTACTGCATTTTCATAATCTTCCTGGAATTAAATTACATGTTTAATTGAGATGACACCAATATAATTTATATCAAACCCAATATAAGATGTTTAAAATAAAGTTTACTTGCGAGTATAAATTAAGCCATTAATTAATGTAATAAAGGTATAACTGATAAATCAAAGTCAACATGTTTCGTCAACCCCCTAAAATGCAAGCTAGTCTGCTTTGTTCATCTAAGTATATATATGTTTACAAAAATTTACTTCTTAATTACTTTGATTAAGATCAAAATCATCAATTGGAGCATTAAAATTTGTAAATGAAACTGAAAGAAAAAGCGTCGATGTACATAAAAAACAAGTAGTTTTGCATTCCAAGCGCGAAAAAAGACATGAAAAATAAACAAAATAGTTGAAGTACACTGACAGGCATGTCATTGTTATCCAAACTACTGCTATCAGGAAGTATGTTGTTTACAACTCTTTGTCGTTTGGCAGGTCCAGGTTTGTCATGATCGTCGGTATCGGATTCCTCGATGTCCGTAGCCATCCTATCAATGATTACCTTTGACTCTTGCACGCCAAAAAAAGCACAAATCCTTGCTCAAAGCTCGATCATTTCTTAAGAACGTAAAAACAAGGTCAACTTATGCAGCCACTTTTCAACGTATTGCGTGACTCCAACTTAACAAAAACCCACTAAATAGTTCGTCCGTTCTTAACACTACCTGAGAAACACCAAAATTCGATTTCACGAGACAAAAGGACTCAAGAATAGATGCTTTTTCAAAAGGCGATGGTCTCCAGGACATTTCTCTAGCCTTGTGACAGATCCAAGATGGCGAGTAAGTGCAGCTCTTGCTTCGTCGCAGTAAAGATAGTGCTCCGAAAAAGCTTTCGAGTCTCATAATCGTCGCGAATCATTCATTTTATTTTGGCGAAAAATTGCACGAATCTCGTGTACAGTCGGGGGATTAATCAGCAGGTGTGCGCCGTGCTGGGCCACACGCTCATGCGGACGACGGGTGGGGGTGGCCGTTGTTTTCTATTTGGGCTGAATATTTCAAAATGGCACCCCCCTACGAATATCACGTACAGTCGCGAAAGAGGAAAAGAGATAGTATAATTTTGTCATGTTAGCAAGACGAAGATAGAAATACGAATGATGAATGGAATTGTGTCGGTTTTCCATGTAGATGCGCGCTCTTTCGCGCGAGTTTCGTGTGGGCAGCTTGCTCATACGTAACTGACGAAACGTGTGTTTTGGAACAAATTTGAAAGTTTGTTGGTTACTTATGGGATTTAAGTATTCGATCATTTTGATAACACTTTTTCATTTTAGTTATACCTGGTTTATAATTATCATAATTGTTAATTTTTTTAAATTACAACAATGCTTTATATTTTATGTTTCTATCTTGAACATTCAACCGGCTATTTTATCTATTTGATTATCTAATTAGTTGATTAGTTAGATAATTAATTTATTATTATTTAATTTTAAACGACATGTGCTTTTAAAATAATAGTATCACGTTAAAACAATTAAATTGTAAAAAGTCCAAGTAATCAACCTTCAATGTTATTGGAATGCGAAAATATTGGCAATTGGTAAGACATTTAAAAATTACAACGGCTGATTTTGTAAAAGCAATTGAATGCACAGTTGATACGTCATCCGATGCCTGAGAAAAAATGTCATTTGATACTCGACAATTTCATTCAATCACTGTCCATAACTATTGTAGCAATTGTGAGTGCTTAAACTTGATCGGAAAAAACTACAAAATTTTTATGCAACTCAAGCGCGAACGTTGAAGAAGCAATTGGTTGAACAATAAATATTTTTCGGTGTAAAATAAGCATTAAACGTCGTAAGTGCGAGGAGAACAGAGCTAGTACGGAGGCATGTAGCGCAAGGAGAGTCGGACGAAGAGGATCGTGCTTCTGAGCGTTCCGTCCGAGTTTTTTGACACTTGCTCTCCACCGTCGTGAAGGTGCAGCAGCAGCAGCAACAGACTTTCCAAAACGTGATAAGAGATTCGCAGTGTAACGTCTTTTTTTATTTAATACTATTGTTATTGCGTGATGGCAGTGTGCAGCAGCTACATCAGGAGCCTTTTCCCTTCGATCGACGACGAACTGTACCAATATGTTGAAGGTGAATTTAACCTCTTCCATTGCCATCAAACAGATTATCTACTTTGCCATTAATTTTACACAAGTTGATCGCGGATTGACGAGTATCAAATCGATTTTTTGTTTTCCATACTCTTGCACCTAGCAAGTAATTTGTCATGCATGATATTAATAACAAACTTATAAGCTTTCGATGTTTTTATATTGATCTAACTGTAAGTTCCACCATTTATTTTAACTTTGCATTAATCTATTATTTTGATTTCTGTTAACTTTTATTTTTGGGTGATCTTAACAATCTTTCACATGAATACATTCAAGTGACTTTATAAGTAATTTTTTAAATTGATAATTAGATTGCAAGATTCTATGTGCAACTATGAATCAAGAGAAACATTGATTATATTGCCATGTAAGTTTATTTACTTTATATGATTGTTTCAGGTATACTTGACAGTTCCAAGGATGACTTTGAAGATGCAAATGAAGTTTATGAGGCAATTGGGGAGGTTCTGCACGAGGTAGAGGAAAGGTCAGAAAACGAGGTTAGGTAAGTGAATTTAGAATTCTATTCATTGTTTATATTACCAATTAGTTATCATGAGTAAATTATTCATAAATCTATTCTACACTACTTAATATATTTCTGTGTAGGCAAATATGTACAAATTTATTAGAAATGATAAAAGGTGGTACAAATGGAGGGATAGAGAGGCGAAAAAATGGAGTGAATAAAGTATTAAATACCCCTATTCATATGGGGTCAATGGTTTCATCATTAGATGAGCAAGTTGATGATGTCAAAAGTATATGGATCTCAACCAGAGATGACGGATCGGTAAGTTTGAGTTAATCACTACAGCTATAATTCGTCTTATTGTTAAGCATTTTTATAAAAATAAGCTTTTTAATAGTGTACTGATTCAAATATTTGTACGTTTTAGAAAGTAGATGCAAAAAAATTAGAAAAAGCTGAAGCCAAATTGAAGCAGAAACAAGAAACACGTAGCAATGAACCCTCAAGGAATAATGATGTACCCATGTTAGAAACAGCGACAGTTAGTCAAGTAATAAGTAAAAAAGACAATAGATTGGAAGCCAAGGGAGGTACAAATAGGACAAATGATATTAGATTAGAAAACTTTGATATAGCATATGGAGATAGAGTGCTTTTACAAGGTGCTGACCTTACATTAGCATTTGGTAGAAGATATGGATTAGTAGGACGTAATGGAATTGGTAAAACCACATTATTGAGAATGATATCAAGGTAAAGTCAAAGAACTCTTTATATTAGAATTGAAAATCATTCCAATCTTACAGTAATAATTCAGTAAACAGCCTTTCTCCTCGAAAAAAATATTTTTTCTGAGTCCTTAAGATTTTTTAATCAATAAAAGAAAAAACATGTTATGGTCAAATCAAATCAGGATGATTCAATCTTAATGAAAGTTGCATGATACTAAAAATATTTAAAAATAAACTCGTAATTTTTTTTGTTTAGTAAACAGTTACAAATACCTTCACACGTACGAGTGCTGCATGTGGAACAGGAAGTAGAAGGCGACGACACATCCGCACTGGAATCGGTTTTACAGTCGGATAAGGAACGATGTGCGTTACTTGCTCGCGAAGCTGAACTTCAAGCTGCTATTGAAAAAGAGGGCGGCAAAGCCAACGATGCTCTGGGCGAGGAATTGGGTGAATATTATATTTTATTTCTTTTTACGAATATGCTATAAACCTGTTTATTGTTGCGTGACCGCATAAACAAAAAAAAAAGAGTAAAAACAACTACTTGATAAATGTAGAATCGACAAAACAGGTTTTATGTTTCATCTCGTTTGTGACTCGACGAGACTTCAGCAACCAAGCTTTGCTTTTTGCACATACGAGACACAATGGTATAATATGAACATAACCACACGCATAAAATGCAAATTCTTTATGCGTACAATCATATCTCATAACATTGCCATATAAAATAGAAACATATCCGATCGATAAATTTATTTTTATAAAGTTTACAACCTCGATATTTGCATTTAAATGTAGCCAAGGTATTCGAGGCGATGCAGTTGGCCGAAGTAGAAAAAGCGCCAGCGAGGGCGAGTACGATACTTTCAGGTCTGGGTTTCTCAGTGGAGCGGCAAAGTTGGCCGACAAAAGCTTTTTCTGGTGGTTGGAGAATGAGGCTAGCACTTGCGAGAGCTCTTTTCTCAAAACCCGATCTGCTGTTACTCGATGAACCTACCAACATGTTAGACATTAAAGCTATTCTATGGTTAGAAAAGTATATGCAATCTTGGCCTACGACACTTCTAGTCGTTTCTCACGATCGTAACTTTTTGGACAGTGTAAGTTTATTTATCTCGTTGCTTTTAGGAAATGGGGTTTTCTTTTATTGAGTTTTTTTGTGAATGAAAACTTAGTAGTTGCTCAGTTATATTTTTAATTTTAAGGATGGGAAAATTATCATTATTAAAAACTCATTATAACAATTCAAAATAACTAAAAGATATAAAGGAAAAAATAACGCGAAACGAGTTTTTTCAAAAAAGTTGTCTTTAAAATTAAATTTTAAAAGTTCAAAAGCAACTGTAGTAAAAAAAATCTTTAGAGGCCGTTGGCAATCTGTAGAACTTTGCATTTCTGAAAATACTTCAAATAAAATCTCGTGCAATAATAATTTTCGAGTTTTGGTATATATCTTTTGATAGGTCCCAACAGATATTCTGTACCTGAAGGGACAGAAGATTGAATCGTATCGTGGCAATTACGAGCAATTTGCCAAAACGAAAGAAGAGCGAGAGAAGAATCAGCAGCGTGAATACGAGGCTCAACAAGCCAAACGAGCCCACGTGCAAGAGTTCATAGATCGTTTTCGCTATAATGCTAATCGCGCCTCAAGTGTGCAGAGTAAAATAAAAATGCTCGAAAAACTGTAAGTAGCTGCACGTTCTTTAATATTAAAATGTTATTCGTCTAACTGTAAAAATTAATATTTTGATTTCAGGCCAGACCTCAAACCAATGGACAAAGAGAGCGAAGTGACTCTACGTTTCCCGGACGTGGAGCCACTGAACCCACCGATCCTCCAAATCAACGAAGTCTCATTTCGCTACCCGAATACTACGAATTTCCTGTTCACAAATGTCTGTCTGTCGGCAACATTACAATCGCGTATCTGCATAGTGGGCGAGAATGGTGCCGGTAAAACGACCCTTTTGAAAATTATGACAAACTCATTAAGTCCAACAACTGGCACTGTGCATACGCATCGTAATCTCAAGTACGGTTACTTTAGTCAACATCACGTTGATCAGCTTGATTTGAGGGTGTGTCCTGTTGAACTGCTACAGAAACATTTTCCAGGTATAGCATCCTAGACGTAGTCACTTCTTTTGAATTACGGATAAGAAAAAAAAATACATAAACAAATATTCAAATATAACTGAAAAAAATCGAGTTTTCAATTGCGAGTATTTATGTCGTTCAAAAGCCGGCGGATATATATTGATCGCCTTGTTATTTCTCTAGTATTGAAGTTCTATTCGTTCGGCTTGTTATGTGCAACCATCTAAATTTTTTTTTCATTCCAAACTTACAACTACTTTTTTTACGGTTTTTATCTATTATGAAATCTGCTATGAAACTCATATTATAAAAGTCTTCATTATTTATTTTATTTTATTGTTTTACTTAGGTAAACCCATTGAAGAGTATCGAAGAATGTTAGGTAGTTTTGGAATTACTGGAGATTTGGCACTTCAAAACATAAATTCGTTATCAGGAGGTCAAAAATCAAGAGTTGCCTTTGCACTTATGTGTGCTGCAATGCCTAATTTCTTAGTATTAGATGAACCGACAAATCATCTTGACATTGAATCAATTGAAGCTCTCGGTAAAGCGATCAATAATTGTCAAGTAAGTCTTTTTTTTAGATTCTGCATTGATCAATTCTTAACACTTACAAATTATTGTTGAAATTCTATAGTTTTAATAAACGACGAAATTATAAAATCTCGATAATTTTTCCAGGCTGGTGTGATTCTGGTATCCCACGACGAAAGGCTTATTCGAATGGTATGTCAGGAACTATGGGTGTGCGGTGAAGGCTCTGTCAAATGTATCGAAGGAGGCTTTGATGAATATCGTCAAATTATTGAAAAAGAACTCGAAGCGTAATAATCATATCCGCTTCCTTTATGACGTATTCGTTTTTAAACTTTTAATTTAATAAAAAGCGATGATTACTAAAATTATTGTTCAAATCATTTCAAAGATCCATCTTTGTTTTTTTAAATACGTAATTACTATATTTTCAATTCAACAATATTACAAGGTTATTTATGCACATAAATTCAGTGTGTGTCATCATATGTCTGTATGAGTTATTTATTGTTTGTATGCTCTTACCGAATCTAAAGAAGAGTTCGTGCATTCAAACGCCCTGCAATTTCAAGCATTGCCTTTGGCTTCAGAAAACAGATTCTGACTATGCTTGATTCTTGAATGAAACAAAAAGACCAGATTTTAGTTTTCATTCTATAATTAAAATTGCAGAATGTACAGATTAAAAATTATAAAAGAAATAGAAATGTATATCATAACGTATTTATATTAAAAATATTCTATTGCTAAAGATAATATTCTCGCATAATATTCAACAGAAATAATCTCAATAATTTTGTTTTTATTTCTTTCCAAACCATTATTTACAATTATTATTAATTATCATTCATACTATATTATATTTTCAGCAATAATTACATTTTGGCAATCAGTTATACAATGTTTTTATGCCATAGACTAAATTTTTTATAGCTATACTTTCCATAGGAAAAATCTTTTTTCTAGCACTGCCAAATATTCTCTCGCGTGAAAATGTAATCAGCGGTGCCAGAAAAATTTTTCAAACACTTTATACAGAGTAATCGATAATATATATATATATATATGTGTGTGTATATATATATACACTTCTCTTTTCCTGGCGCCGAATCCGTGATAAGTAGGAAGTGAAAAACAAAGTTTAAACTATGTCATTCATGGCGCATAAACGTATAGAAACTGCAAATCTCATCTATCAATCTATCACAATTTACTGATATATCGCAACTGTTTGACAAATAAAATTGGTCGGCTATTAACGATACTCGTATGTATAAAAATACACGTGCACTATCATTGCTTATCTGACAGTGCCAATAAAGTAAACGTTCAAAACTGGTATTTAGGTATTGACGCTCTGATATAAACTTTCCGAGGTGAAGAATTGTCAAAGGCGTTAATAAAAATCATACTGATCATTTTCGAAGTTCTTCATACTTTCAAATCTTAGAAATAATTTGTCTACTTTCAATATTAATTGATATCCACTCAAACTTCAAGCATAGAGAATATATATTCAATTAAAACTCTCAATAATAAAACTGTGTAACACGTATGTTTTATTGTGGTAACTGTTATTTCGATCACAAGACAGACCATCACGTATGACGGAGAATTATATCTTAATGCACAATGTTTAGTGCAAATAAGCGTCTATTCTATTTATTCTTACGTAAATAAAGATTAGTTAAAAAATAACGGTGAAATCAAAAATTAAAATTAGTTATCACAAAATTAATTTCATGTATCACTACTTCTGTTACGAATAGTGGAAAAAATCTAAAATCCTTCAAGAGCAGGGAACACTCTTCTCACAACATTACGTGTTTTCTATTTCAATTGGTCTTGTTATTCAAAAGACTGAACCTTTAAATTCAACCTTCACTTCGTTCAAAGTTAAATCAATTTCAGTTGACAATATCAATATCAATATCAAACAACTTTGTATTTTTCAATTTTCCTTCAATCTTTTTAATTTAAACTTTAAATATTACTTAAAATTATATTCTTATTTATTAATCTCATAATACCTCTCCAAACAAAAATAAATGCTCTTCATAAAATCTTAACCCAATGGAAACTTCAAATTTGTTATTGCTTTAGAATTAATAATCGATTAAAGATGCTCGACCTAACAAGCTGAAAAATTATAGGAACTTCCTTAAGTTTATTTATGTTTATTGGTACAAACTTTCAATTCTATCGTAACCTTATTTTACTACTTTTAGATCTGAAAAAATTAGGCTAATTATGTTCTAAAAAATAGTACGAAATTTTTTGCAACTATGACAAATCCAACCTCAGTATCTTGTCATTACCGCGTCTTTTACGCAGGTAGATTTTCCGTAAGTAGTCGACAAGGAGACAAGTTAATTTGCGACGAGGCTAGGAAATTAAAGGGGTGCGAAATTACAGCAGATATGGTATCAGCTAAAGATTTTCGCGTTAGATTCTCCAATGTGTCTACTTTACTTGCAGAAAAAAGAAGAAAAAAATGCAATCGAAACCGTTGTTGCGCGAGCCGAAAAACTGGTATATATTAGCACTCTTTCCCTGTACTTTTATGGTGCAAAGGTCGCGTAACTTCCCTGAGTGTTAGGAAGTATTTTGAATTTTTTGATTCGGACGTTTTCCGCTATTCGCAACGTAAATAGTGATACACGAAATTCATTATATTTGATAACTAATTTTATTTTCTAGCTAAATTTTGCTTATTCGCACTAAATAGTACATAAGTATTGAATTACAATTCTCGACCGTTGGTGGTGATCTTTCTTACGATCATAATGTCACCTACCACATAATTTTTTCTGTGATATGTAATACTTACAATTTTCATCTAATATCTAAATGATCAGAGTGTAAGACGAAGTAGAATTTTTAATATGTTCCTACAATGAAAATTATCACAATTCATTGTTTCAATTGTTATAACATCGCAATACTCCAAACGAACGCCAAAGTACGCGAAAAGAAAAAAAAACAGTGAGCTACCAAAATATTTGACATAAATTACCGCCCTCATCATTGTTTGTCATTGTATGTTAGAAAATAAAATATTTTGGCATCTAAGTTTAACTCTACGAATCTCGACATGTATACCTGTAATAAGTTACACGTTTGCTTTTTGAAAAGAATCTGCTTTTTTTGAAAAGTCACGATTGCACTGCAATTGTGATACATTTTCAGTTGTTAACGTGTCACTAACATTCACAAGAAAATACACGAAATAATTATTAAGGAAAAGAAGTTCGAACAACGATTACTCTACGAACTAATGTTAATGAACGTAGATAAAGAAAAGTTACATAAAATTAGCATTTTCGCATATAAAAATAGTATGATGAGGAAAAAAAGAAAATAGATAATTAATAAGGAGACTCTGACATGCCGCTAGAAACAGTTGAAATTTTCTTGACTAATCGTCCGCCGCCTTGACAGATTTATCTATTACGTAACTGCGCGACCAGCAATGTTTATAGATCCCACTTTATTGTCATCCGTAAAAGAACGGAATTGAGAAAAAAAAGAGGAGGATCGTTAGGAAAGAGAGACAGATTAAAAAAGCAATAAATACATTGAATATTTACAAGGCTTCTCGCGGTTTTTGGAGCTGGGGGCGATAGAATTGTTTTGTTTGCAGTTGTGCGATAGAAGGCATAAATTGTCCCTTTTTAGCAGGCGGCATTCTGCCATGGCTGAGGTGCCGGTTGTCGAGGACCACCTGTACCAGCATTCGATACCGAGCGTACCGGTGGCGCAGGTGCTTGCTGCTTCGCCGCTGCAACTGTTTTCATTTTCAAATCATTTTCATAGTCTCGGCGTTGGTTTTTCTTTATTGCTATGCATAAATGATGCACGTAATATACACATAAATAGAGAGTGAAATAGAGAAAGAGCTTGCGATGGCGTTGAGTGACTGTGCTTCGTAGGGTGTTAATAGAGAAGTCCGTTGTCTCTTGTTATAGCGTTCTCTTTGAATGCCGATTGCGCGCATTTTCCATTAACGACATTCGAGGCAGAAAGAGCTGCGGCTATTTACATCATGCACAACATGCATATCATGCGCGCTTTCTGTCTCGGCGTCGTCATTTCAATACAGTGCAAAAAACGGAGAATGCCAAGGCCTGCAGATATAATAACTAAAGAGTGCTAATTAGTTTCAAGTATATACTACTTTATTAAGCTTCTTTAATAACAATGTGTTAATTTTTTCCTTTTTTTTCGTACATGAAAATCTATGTAGCTTCGCTGCGATTAGTTTGTGTTGCATGCGGTCTACTGTTATTGATTACCATTATCCCAATTTTTTCCAAGGCAAAATAAAAAGATTAAAGCTCTATCAGACTAGATCTCACTAATTCCCATATAACCTGCTTTAAATTAGTCATTGTCAAGTCAAGACTCACTTTCAAAACAATACATGATTTAAAAAATCATCGTATTGTCTAAACTAGATACGATAACTAAGATCGTTAACTAAGATCGGTCTACATTTTAAGCGTTTGTTTACAAAGTATCGCGTTGGTGCATCATCTGTTAACGACACCAAGGATTAGATTATATTCTTGATTCTACTGTTGCAAGATCTAGTTTCATACATTAACATTTTGATGAATCAGCGATGTGCATCATCTCGACATAAATAAATTAAAGAATTCTAAGTGAAACACATCAAGAACGTAACAGTTTAATTAATATGCAGGCTTTGCATTTTTAATTAACGTAAAAACTAATTGAATAGATCATGTAATTTTAGTTACATTTTTAAATTATAAAAAAAAGTATATTATCGATTCAAAGTATTTCATTTTTAACATTTTATAATATATGAAACTGTTACCAAATTCATTGGAATAAAGTTGCAGAAATTCGATTATCATATTTTGAAAAACTATAGTGCCAACAATAGTATACTATTCTTGAAATAGAAAATTTCAATATTTTAACATAAAATATCAACATATCAGTAAGTGCTAACTAATATAGAAAAACGTGTTCTTTTTGCAAAAAAAGAATTTACAACGAATTATTATAGTACGCCAATACCAGTTGGTCACCTGATCAAATCCGTAAAAAAAAGACTTTTCTACTGCATGCCAAACGAAAACTATATTCCATGATGCATCACACTACATTCCATAAATAATCAGTGAATACACCTCTCGTTACATGATCTCAAAAAGCATGAAATTATCACACCGAGCCTTGTAAAAAAGTTAATGTGAAATCGTTATCAAATTTCATTATATTAGTTTCTTGTTAATGAAAAGAAAAAACATAAAAAAGTGTTAAAAAGCAAATGTTATATCTATATTCTTACTATTTACACTAGAGTGTGAAAATGATATCGTTGTCTTCTAGTACTGTGAATTGATAGAAAACTAAATTGTAAATTAGAAACGTCCGTCTCAAATCGAAATTTGTTAAAAAAATAAACGAGTTCTCATCAAAGAATTTCACAGAAACTTTTCTACGCGAATAACAACAATTATTAAATTAATCTAAAGAAGAAGTAGAAGAGAAGTATAAGGGACAGTAAAAAGAAGGCCATAAGAGTGAACGATTAAACGTCAAGCTCGGAGGACTGTCTCCTTAGAGCAAACTTCAAAAGTGTCCCATAGCCTTTATTCACGGGAAGCTCACCAGTTTTGCTGTTATAAACCTTCTGCACGTTTCTGTAAGGCTCGGGCGCGGGGAAGGTGGCTATCGAATGGAACATGTCGGCGAACCTCGCCTCGAATTCAGCAGGACTCGGGCTCATTATCTGCGTTTGTCCATTTCTTTGCTGTAATGACTGTCCCCTTGTGGGTGGCGTTGGTGGCGGAGGCATAGGTGGTGCCGTTCTCGCAGAGGTAGGTGGAGGCGGTGGCGGAGCCGCTGAAGAAGAGACCGACGAAGACGATCGCTGGGGCAACGGCGGTGGCGGAGGTGGCGGCATCAACGGCGCTCTTGTGGGCGGCGGTGGTGCCACTCTAGTTATCGTTGCACCACCGTTGCTGTTTCCACGGGAAATCGGTGGTGACGGTGGCCTCACCACTGGTGGCCTTTTCGGTCGATTTGTTGGCCTTTGCTGCGGCTCCACCAAGCAGTCTTGCGACTGATGCAACGACGGCGGCGTAGGCGCCAGCACCTGTGGTGAACGCGGTAGTCGCATACTTTGCGCCCTGAAAATCAAGCATCGTGAGAAATGTTAAAGTGCCAACTGATTGAGGTATTGCGTGCGCATACGCGGTTGTGCTGCACGTTATCGGTATCAATTGTACGGTAACGCAATGCTTTTTTTCCTCAAATGATACTTTTTCATATCGTATTTTTCAATTTGTGCTTCATTCTAAAATAAAAAATTTTTATTTAAACTACTTCAAGTACCTGCTAGATAAGACTTTTTATAATCAGACGCAATAAATTGATTACATAGTGATTGATTGATACATGTCAATTGATATTTTTAACAATTGACTCAGAAATTCGTCATCAATTGCTTCTGAATAGAAGCATTTTTCATTTTTCAGCAATTCTCTCTTTTTTAAGCTCTCACAAATATAAACAATACTTTACCTGGATACAGAATTATTTGTATTGAGAGTGAGCTTTTTAGGCGGTGGTGAAGGCTTTTGTTGCTGCACTGCATTGGAAGACGTTGGTGGCTTTGGAGCCAGAGTTGGCTTACCAAAGGAGCTCCTGGGAGTTTCATTATAATTCAAACTTGTTAACTCTGGTGATGGATTATTCATTGAAAACAACTGTGGCTTTTGAGCAGCTGGAGGTGGTACAGGAGGCGGACCACGTTTGACACTTGGCAATGTAGCCGAACCAACTGGATTCGAATGACCATTGCCATTATCTCTTTCTGCCAAGTTGTTTCTCATACCTGTAGGCTTGAGTTTAGGTATTCCACCTGCGAATAGGCCACCCAAACCCATTGGGCTACCATTGTTAATACTATTTGTGTTAGGCGCTAGAACTTTAGAGCTTGTGTTAGATGTTGTGCTTGATGATTCTCCACAGATTCTTCCTGAAAGACCAACACCAAAGGCATTATTGGCAAGCTGCCAACCAGCACATGGAAAAGACAGTTAGAAACACGGACCACTGATGGCTGGACCACTTTTGTCAACTGTAACTGTTTTCTTCAATTTTTTGCCATCTCTGATAGATTGCAAAAGAGCTCCTCTGTCGTTAGAGCCTCCTACGAGGTTGAATGTGGGTGCTGGCGGAGGCGGAGGCGGCGCTGGCATTTTGACTGTTTACCAAACTTGAAAAAAAAGAGACAACCGCGAGTTTAAAAAGCCGTCCAGGCACGATTACACATCGCATTGACTTTTTTCAAGGTAAAAAGCGCGCACACGCATATATTGACATTCTCTCTACGTCGCTCTCTCTTTCGCTCATCGACCTCACCGTCTCTCCTGAATGGCGAGGAGTCTTGCTCACATACGTACTCGCTTTCGCGTGAGTGACTCATAAACATTCATGCATTTGACTGAATTGCGCGCAAAAAAAAAGAGAAGCAAGCTATTATCTGTGCACCGCACTTGTTAAACAGATAAGCACATCCAAACAGGATGACGCGAGAGAGGAGAAAGAGAGAGATATGGACGAGTCGTAGTCGCGCAAAACTAGGTTATCTTAGCCACGGTAATTATTTACCTTAGAAGCACCTCCTTACAACGATTGAATCGAGATGAAAACGTCGACGTTATAGTTGCAACTTCGACAAGAAACAACACGTTTTTAGGGCAATAATACACTCCACTCACATCGCACGCAGTTCACTCTCCCACGACGAGAGAAAGAGAGAGCAACTGACGACTTTATCTTTTGCGAACGGCGACGACATGGGTAGCTGTTGTGTGTACTTGTATAGACGTATGGGCGACGGAGTACGAGATGAAAGTTTTAGTCCTTTCGCGCGAGAATACACTCGACTGACTGTCAGCAGCCAGCCAACCAACCAGCCAACACAAAGTGCCTCTTCAGCCCAACTTGAACTGAGAAAAAAAAAAGAGACGATGTCGCTGCTGTAGTATATTACCGTGTGGTGCTCTTGCGCTGTGCTGTAGCTGCTTGCTGCCCCACTCGAGCTTTTACTGTCTCACTCCGACTCCCGCAAAGTGAACGGACGGGACTAGCACAGGGACGGATTAACCCTAATTGTTGTTCGGCTCTTTTTATTCAATTTTTATTTCGTATGTAGACTAATTGGGTACTATTTTCAGTGTTGATTACAAAATGTGTTTGAATTATTTTGAATTGTAATTGAGACTGAGTATAGTTTTTAGAAATGTCTTTTACCATAAAATTTTACAAGCCCATGCGTTTAATTTTATTGCAAAACGAAACGACAATGTCAACTTGAATGGGTGATGGTTTTTCAGGTCAAATACATTGGTTTCTCTTATGCGGCTTGAAAGTAATCCATGAGTCGTAACAAATCACTAGATTGAAATGATTTTTCTTATATTACCACAATTCAAATTAATTACTTTAAAAATATAAATTTATTGGAATTGGTGTAGATTTTTATATTTTTATCTAAATTAGAAAAATTAATAAAAATTCTAAATTTTAATGATTTATGACTGTCACGTTCGATTATAATAAGTTAATAACTCGAAATAATAATAATTTAAAAAATACGTTGTATTTCTTTCCTCGTAATGTATATAAGTAATATACATATATTTAAATATATTTAAATTTGACGTGTATACGTAACGTATAAATGTGTATACGTTACGTATAATTGCAAATGTAAGTATTAATGAAAGATAAAAGTTATTCATTTACTAGCTGCATAACAGTTCCCACACTTTGTAGAAAACAAGAAAAAACAGATACAAAACATAGAGAAATATTTTTAACTCCGTCTTGTTTTGAAATCACCAATTAGATGTTGAAGTGATATTCTTCATTAAATCTATGTCTTTTTTTCTTACGTATGATAGATTGTTTGGTATTTATAATCAAAACGCTAATTCCAGCAAGCACCACATCTTTTTTTATTACATTTTTTTGTTTATAATTTTATTGTTTTTCTACTTAATTTATAAAAGACTTATCAATTTTCATAAACAAAATGACCATTTACGATTAACCAAGCTAATTATACAAAGTTCTTTATATTGCATAATGCATAATTATGTATAGTTTTAAACGCTTGATTTAAATTGAAAAAAGGTCATTGAAATGAACACAAAAAGTTAAAAACAAACTTGAAATGAAACATTTTTTAGTTGAACTTCAAAGTGCTTTTGTTAATGTAAAGTATTTGTATGTAATTTGATTGGTTTGTGATAATTGATTCAAATTAACTATTTCGATTTGATCGACTGTTTATTTTAATTATTATTTATCGAATTTTATGAAGTGAAAAATATATTAAAAAACAATGATTTTCCCTACAAGATTTTCTGAGCATTTTCCATAGAAATTTTTCATATATGACTGTTTATCCAACGATTAAGTACAGAAACTGGCAAACCGTTGAAATGGGTGAAAAGAAATTGCAAACTTCACCAATATTAAACGAGAAAAGAGTGCAATTCATGTACGGTATTTAATAAGGAGCTAGTAGTTAATAGTAATCATAGTAATTATAATAGCTTGTTAATTGTACAAATTTCAGTTGAATAAGGCTACGTAAGCTTCTTTGCCTTCTGATACAGCGTGTCAACAACCTTGCCCATACTGTGTACAGTTTCCAATGCAAGTTCATAGGTCTTGTCCCTCGGCGTTTCTTCAAAGACTATCAGCACACCATCACCCTGATCTAACACACCTCGCAGCTTTTTATCAAGAATCATTTGCGATAACTTTTTCTCCACTTGGGAAATTGACAGAGATATGCACGATGCTATGTAGCTCACCTGTTTTGAAAATAAAAATTTTTTAGATAAACGTAATAGTACAATTATGAAGTACAAGATTGATTAGAAGTTTACCTGTACGCGAGAGTAAGGCTCGACAATCCTACAAAGATTCTGTTCTAACATCGTGTCGTATAAGGAATCAAGATGAGCACGTACAATAACGTCATCTTTTAGTTCTTGACGATATTGATCCAAAGCAGTTTCGAAATCGGCAAGAGAACGACGATGACTTGCTTCAGCTACAGATTTCATCGCATCTAAATCTCGTCCTGCATATTTGACTGCAAGCTTTCCTGACATGATCGTTTGCACATCCTCGGGGGAGCGTAGCATAATTTTAGAGAGTAACATATATTTCAGTGCTGTCAATGATTTAGGATGTTCAACACTATCGTATCTGCAATAAAATTATTTAATAAGAATATTGCAATACATGGAATAATCTAATGACTGTCACTATAGTTTACCCTTCAAAAGCTTCATAAAAGTAGGAATATGCAGTCTTGAAATCTCGTTCATCAGCAGCATGAAGAATACCTGACATAAGATCTAGTGCAGCTTGCATCTTGGGTGGACAGTAAATAGCGTTTGCTGTAGTTCTAGCACTTGTAAGAGCAGCTCTCGCTTTAGCAAGATTACTCAAAGCATGATAAGTCTTACTCTCAAGTAATTGCACTTCTACTAACAATTGTTTATCGTCTAATTTTTTCAACTCTTTTAGGAGTGCAGAGCCTAATTGTAATGCTTCAGAGTACATGTTGGTATCAAAGTATAAAGCAATTAGTCTTGCTTCTAGACTTTGTCGCAAAAAAGTACGGCGCTCTTCTTTTGCCCATTCTATACATTCTTTGCACAATTGTACCTATAAACACAAAACATCATTAGTAAATACAGTAAAAACAATTTTAAGAACAAAGCCTTTGTGTTAACTCAATTTATTTTTAGAAGCTTAAGTAAACAAAGGCATTTTCATTTTCTTATATTAATAATACCATAGTTAATTTTTTACTTTGATACCCTACACATAATATAAAAAGATTTTTAAAATATCTTATTTTCAAGCATTCTTATTTATCAAAACAAATCAGTGACTCATCGCTTATTTTCCATATAAAGTAAAATGGAGCAGACGTTCAAAACACTTAAATTCTAGCACAATCATAATTATATTGAAATGATAAGCAATCAAATCTTGTATAGATCTGATAAAAATGAAAGCACAAATAAATTAAATAATAAAGGAAAACAAAGAAGCAATGACTCAAAATTGGTGGAGGTCACAGACATGCACATATGAATAATAACTGAACTAACCTCAATGCCAGTGCCAGCTTCGAGGTCGAGGAAGAAGTCGACAAGAGACCTCACGAGTTTGGCTGCTTTGGCTTTGCTGATGAGACTGAGGAAGGGTCTGGTTGCCTTAATGAGCTCGGCAAGTTCCTTGGCCTTGCCCTCTTTCTTGTAAAGCTCGCCAAGTTGCAGGATACCTTGTTCCTTGATACGAATGCTCTCCTCGTCATCTTCGTTGTTACCAATCCTTGGATCCGAGACGATTTCGTGCAAAAGGTTTATACCCTCAGACCTATTAGTCATCGACACCGCTTGCGCCCGCTCGAACAACATCGCGCCGGCCATTCTGCCTTCGAATTTCGCCCAGTCACTCTGTCGAGTTCAAAAACCAAAAGCTGCTTTTATTTATGCTTGTACGAGTGGGAGGTGAGGTTTTATTAGTAAGGGAGGTGAGATTGACTTGAGAGAGATTTGGCTACTTTTCACGTGTTTTTAGCTTTGTTTTAGATTAATAAAGTCCGAAAACGAGATTCTAACCTCAAAATAAACTACAAAATAAAATATAAAGACTTAAGGATTTAAGATTGTTGTTTACATTTGTAGGTATATTGATTACTCCAATGTCATATTAGCAGGTTGCAAATCATAATTTCGCAAGAAAATTGTATTAGTTGATTAAAAAGCAGTATCAAAAGGAAAAGATGTTACACAAGTCAAATGATTGTATCGACAATAAGCACGCCAACAAACATTACTAACCTTTGTTAATACTCACTCAATTATACTTCGCTTCCCTTTCTCCACTATCAAGTTTACCTAGTTAAATTGCAAGAAACTTTCCTTTAGCTTTCTCACTTGCAAGATCTGCAAAAGGTAAAGCAAGGAGTAAACGTAAAGGGCGAGGCAACAAATCGCGCGAGGTTAGGTCGTGTAGTGGTAAGAAACCTCGAAAAGGAACGGTGAACCGTTTGACTACGATAAGTACGCACTTTGTAGAAGTCTAGCGGAAATAAAGCGTAAGATAGCCTGATTAATTTTCACTGTATCGTAAAACTCATATCATGCCGCTCACACAGAGATCTTGGACATATATGAGGAAAACTAAAAATTCGAGAAAAATTGCGAAAAATCTGGCGATGCGGATGCGCCCAACTGGCCTCCACTCACTATTGCCGTTGATTGTTCAGCTTCAAAATCACACGCTTCGATCAGGCCTACCAACAATTTTGAAATTGATCAATTTCATTTTCTTTTCCGGATTTCATATCACTCTGTATTATTGCTTTGATAAGAACAACAAATGTGCTATGTATTGCCTGGCGAAAGTATGTGTTTGTAGACTGAGGATGTGTATATAGTTAAGCGTTATACTTAAGAGCTACTTTCAAAATTATGTTAATATGTAAAAAATGTATACCTATATTTGTTAAACAGAATGGAATCGATAATAAAGCATTAAATATTAATTAATACTTCGACGGCCTATAATTAAAATGATGTAAGTATACATGTTCAAATATTTTTTCAGCTTAGGCTTTGCTGTAATTAATTTGTTTAGTTATTTGTGTATGTTTTTTAAATATTTTATATTGATTATTAGAGATAATAGATTGAACAAATATTTGATGAATTTGGAAATTGTGTTAACTTTAACCAAAAAATGTATCGTGATTTTTTGTTAACTGTTTATGTTTATTAAGCCATTGTTTTTGTTCGAGAAAATCGAAAATCATTTATCTAAAACAAGTGAAAATGACGTAGTCGCACATTTAGACCCTCGCCCCATATGCGCATACGCGCGCGTACGAGGGCGTACAAACGCGTACAAATCGCTAAAAATTTTGATAGTGCCAACAACAGAAAGTTACTACTATTCCTCGCATGCCCCAAACGAACACACTTACTTCCGGAACAAACGTATCATAACCTTCAATAATACATATAGCGTTATGATACGTTTGTTCCGGGAGTAAGTGTGTTCGTTTGGGGCATGCGAGGATTAGTATTAACTTTCTGTTGTTGGCACTATCAACATTTTTAGCGATCTGTATGCGTTTGTACGCCCTCGTACGCGCGCATATGCGCATATGTGGCGAGGGCCTTAATAGTTCGAGTGAAAAAAGGAAGTTCGAATGTACCCGAGTACATGCAACAGTGTCGCTTTATTATCGCGCATTAACACAATTGCACATACTATTGTGCGCCCGTGTAACATGAATGAAATAATTTCTTCCTTGCTGACTCGATAGCTTCATTGCCAGGTCCGAATGAAAAATATAACTAAACACGTAGAAAGACAATGGAATAAAAGCATTTCAATTGTATCGACGTAATAAATATGAAAAAACTATTGGTCAATGATTTTTTCAAACATAATAAAATAAAATTCACACATATATATTACAAATTTAATAAATTTTTATTTTATGTTGAGGAATATTTTATCATTTACAAAGTTATAAATATGTATTGTAAGTCATATAGTATAGTATAATTTGGTATAATGTAATCTTTGGTGGTACATAAATAGTACATTATGATACTCCGTGCGCAAAGTGTGTCTTTCCCGCACGCTTGGCAGAAAACGTGCGTTGAAAATCGCACTTTCCACACGTCGTATAAAAAAATACGGTACGGCACATGTTCGGGAAGTTAAATTTACATCCTTTAATTTTATAATTTGGATTAAATGGTACAATAAATAAGATAAAAATAGATAATACTAAAGCAATTACTTCTAATAAGTTATTAGGACTAGATCGTAAAATTGCATAAACAACTAAAAAATTTCATTCGGGTTGAATATGATACTTCGTGGATTTTTTGTGACGCATTTAATTAAAAAGTTATGGCATTAAAAACTCAGTAAAATTGTTGTCATCTTGGTACGAAATGGGTTATGTATGTAATCTACGATTTCTAATAATAATCTACGCATTGCCGTATTCGAGATTTCATAAGTAATGAGTTTGGTCACGATGCAATTACATTCAGATTTTACAGTTGCCATTTGCTCCTTGTGACTCGGATCGTAATAAGACTAGTAGCTGTCCGAAAAACGACCGAGAAGCGTGGATGAGTCATTCTCCCATGCTGTAATGGACTTTTCAGTTTAGGCACCCGTTAGCAGCCTTTTACGTGCAGAGCTTGCTCAACGTAAAAAGTTATTCGGCACAGTGGAGACAGCTCCCTCGATGTAATATCACTTATTACGTTGGAGGACTAATACAGAAAACTCCCCTGTGGCGGGCTCTGCACAGAAGTTTTTCGTATTACGGAAAATTTTCAATCGTAACCTTATGACCGGGTGAGGGTTAAAAAACTGCTTACGAACGCCAAAACTAAAAAATTATTAAAGTATCTTATGCTATACCACGTTGTATTACGTCTCGGGACTTTTTTAAAAGGAAGGGACCAGATCATCCTTGGATGCCCCACTGCCCCTTCTTCAAAATGTTCTTCGACGTAATACAATGTGGCATAGACCAAGATACGTACATAACTAATACATATGTGTGTGTGTTTTGTGGAAAAAAAGGTATGGTACATAATAATCTATAATACAGCTCAGTACTCTCAGGAGCCATCCCCATCTCGCCTCCTGAGCTGTAACAGGTACAGATGCTGCCGATGCAGGTAAGCCACCCCATTGCGACGGCTTAGGACGAAAAATCAAGTCACATAAATGCGCGAGAAAGTGCTTTCATCCTCGTCTGGTATATTCACCCTCGCTTCGTTCGGGCGCAAAAGTTCATATAACTATCTGAAAATACTTATGAACAATGACATACGTATGTAAAAAATTCACTGTACAAAAATTTTCTCTCAGAACTTAAGGTATACTCAAAGCCGCTCGATCAATCACAGAGCTATGAGAGCTAGAGTCAAAGCCTTATAGAATCTACCTGTGGCGTCGAATTCCTTCCCGCTCTCTGCTTCGCTTCGCAAATGATCAAGGCATCAATCGCACAATTTTATTGTAAATTAAGTTTTTCAAGTGCAGAGCTACGATGAGATTTTATTCCGCTAAAATTCAATTTTTAACATGAAATTATATACATTTGGGAAATTCACCGTGCTCAATATATTATACAAAATTTTACATAAATGATAGCACGAATGACTTTTTAATTATGACAACGAAAACAAAATTTTTATTATTTTATTTATCACAATAAAAGATACATGATTTGAATGAGTAGCTCACGACTTATAGCTAGTTACAATTAATAATATAATCTAAAAGAACTCTCTAAACTCTAAAGTGACAGCGATAGTTACAATCTTTTTAGGTATATACACGATCTTCTTATAAAATCTTTATAAAATCATCGTAACGTTGTCTATTTCAGCAATAAAACTACATACATGTATAAACCTAAATGTTTACAAGAAACGACTTTATACGTAGGCGCTGCTGGAGTTTTTTGAGGACATATTACAGTCTCTGTGTGCGTCAGTCGTTGAGTTTGTGTGCATTTTTCGCCTCTCATTATAACACAATAATCATTATTTGAAAATTAAAAATGCTATAAAATTGAATGTGAAATCATTCAGAACGACGGAAGCTAAATTTATTTACCAATCGATCAATGGTTTTTATGATGAAATCTTTAAAAGCTAGTTAAAATTTGAATTTTTGTTGATTTTGCACTTTTTTTTAATAAATTATAACCATCAATCTTCGTGAATTTAAAAACTAAATACACTTACAGAACAAAGAATTGACTTTTCCACTTTCAAATGTTTGAATATTTAAATTTATATAGAATTAAACCCGCATAGAAAAGTTGAATGTTGAGATAATTAGACAACTTTCAAAACGTTGCGATAGCAATGTTAAGATCAGTTAAAACTTGCGAACATTATTAAATTGTAACGTGATTTTATGCGTTTCAACTTCTATTACTTAGAAAATACGATTTACTTGAAAAACACGTGCAACGACAAAAACCACAGTTTATAAGTAAATATAGTTCAATTCGTCTCCTTCGCTATACTTATCTATTTGACTGTAATAAGCAAACTAGAGTAGAGTTGTGGTTGTGTGTTTGAATTTAGCCAAAAAAATCCTTCAAGAACATTTGAACTTGTAACTACGATAATTACAGGGATTACTCCTCTGTCGAAAAAATATTTACGTGTATGTGTGATATTGCGTTCGATTCGAAATACAAAAATTAGGATATTGATTTCGAAACAGCACGAAGGAATAATATCATATTGACGTTCGACATACTCCGTGCGCAGAGCCACAACCTACTGTAAGACTAACGACATGGCGTCTAAAGCGTAAAACTCTTTGTTCCCCCGCTGAACTGCTGTTGTTGCTGCTGTCTTACTTAATTTTTGCCAAAAATAGCAGCTCTTTGTCGGAACAGTTCGCGTCTGGCAGCTCGTTCTTCCTCCTCGCGCCTTCGCTCTTCTTGCTCCTGTCGGATTTCGTCCTCGAATTTGCTCGATTTTCGCAGTTGCTCAATCTGTCGATGACAAACAATTGTTGACGTTGAATAAGAAACACGAGTGAACGGTGAAGATTGCGAACGATGACGGAGAGCGTACCTTGGCTTCGAAGAAATTTTTGGCACCGTTGACGCCGACTTCTTCAACGTTCACTTCGGTGAGCCGAGCGAGTTGACCCAAACCTGAATCTGTCTCGAGTTCTCCTGCTCGTGCTTTGCGGTAGATCAGAAGGAACTGAAACGAGAACGAACATTTCCGACTCAATGATCGAAAGCGGGGAAAGGAGTGATTATATTTTTTATATTCTCTCGCACGTCTCGTGTGTGTGCTGTATATAGGTGTATTAGTAAAACCGTACGTCGCCATTTTCGGATAATACTTTGTTTACAAGGTTACGTGAGAGAGTAGCGCGCAAAGTTTTTCCATATACGTGAAGAACGCTGTGATGCGAAAATCATAACGGCGTTCTTTTCCCTGGCCACTTCTCTAATTGCTAATGTCCGGTATTTACGAGCCGGCTAATTCGTGAAAAAGCTCTTCGGGTATTATCAAGGAGTGGGATACTTTAAGCTCGCGCGGACAAGGCTATGATTAAGTAGAAACCTCGCATTTTCAGAATGAAAGAAAGAACAGAGATGACGGTGACTTACGAGCCGTTATTGTTCCGCGCAAATTGCAGCCTGATTTGGCCAGCTGTAATTTGCTCTCTAACAATCTTTCTTTAACTGGAATTCACGTGTTTAAACAATGAGTATATACACGGATATGACATGTGTGACATACTGCTCAACTTCAAGTGACTCACGCTCTTTTCCTCTCTCGGTGCGGCTGGCCGCTCTGTCATACCAACTATCGCGATCCCTGACGAAATACGATGCATCTGTGCAGTTGTAATTGATTCATACCTAATTTTGAGAAAACAATGACCATCAATTGAAATGAGACAGTGGCCGCGAAATAAAGTAGTAGGCTGATAGAAACACATCAACGACAATAAAAACCAACGCAAACTCAATCACCGCGTGAATCACACTGTGATTGACCCGAAAGAGAGCGTCAAGCGCGTTATATCTCGAACGATTAAGCCTCCGGGGGCGATTCGCTCAAAATTGATACGAGTGTACGAAAGGAAAAAAAAAAGAAATCAAAACGTCCGGCAATGAACTAACAGACAAAGTGACGCATCCGGGAGACAGAACAAAAATTTAAAAAAAACTCGGAATAGGCGAGATACTCTCATGCTGACTTTTCCGATATACAGGTGTCCAGCGTGTTCGTGTGCGGTTGTATCATTGAGTTCGCGCGGACGATGATTATCATCTTTGCGGTTGGCTGACTCATTGCACGCTACGAGCAAACTCGTGTTGCGAGGTCGCTGCTCTTTTTTCTTCTCGGGGGGGTAAATGTTCGAGGGGAAAATGCGCGAAGCGGTTAATCAGAAATGACGGCTCCGTTGTATAGTTGCGGCGATTTTAACGTGTGTACAGACAATCATTTTTTGTTGATTTCGCAACATAGCTTGAGAAATATTTTCAAAATTACTGCGTTAATTCATTTTGAATTATATGCATTGAATGGAATTCATAGAGCATGGCAAATTCATTCTGCGTACAGTGTGCGGCTTTGAAAGAGAGCTGTAATAAAATAAAAATCGTAATTTCATATTATTTCAAGCGGAAGCTCACAAAGAATACTGTATTATTTTTTCTGCGTCAAAAACTTCCGATTGGGCATGATTTCTTGCCAAAAAAAAAATTAAGTATACTTTTATTCAAACTCATTGTCGAAGAACACTAGAGCGAATACTTCAGAGAGTTCGTCGAAATTCGAAAGAAAACTTGAAAAATTGAATGGATTGACAGCTGGAAAGAAATACATCTTAAGCCTAATTTAATTAAAGTCAAAAAGAAAGAGCACTATCTGACGGAAATAAAAAAAGAAGTGGAGCGAACGAGAAAAATATGACTGTACTCGTACAAAGGTTACGTCGTCGGCAGAGTGATCGAATGCTCTCTCCCGAATCTCGTACGTGTTTAATCTTCGATTAAACTTATTTGAATGTCAAACAAGCATGAACTTCTGACAAAAAGAATTACATGCATAAATGTAAGCACTAACTATCGAATATTTAAATATGAAATAAAAAAGTTTATCGATACCCATACGGATAGTAAAAAACAATAAATAATGATAATAATCGGATCTGGTGGCGAATTTGAAAGAAAAAGAGGAGAGTCGGTAGTTTCCTTCGATGAGTCATTCCTAACCGGAGGCTTCACCCTCGCCAAACGAAATGCACGTTAATTATTCCAATAGCGCGCGTGAGCACGTGACATTTTTCCGTCTCGTTTTTTTTTTTTTTTAACACGCGACAGTTAGGAAACGGCACTTTCGACATCGCACAGTTGAGATTGTGACACTGAGATTGCGCGCGAAGAAAAAAAATGTGTGCGCGCAAGGTGCGGCGCAGCGTGTGATCGAGTGTCCCGAACGATTTGATTTCACCTGCCGGGATTGATGGATGTGGAAATCGAAAGCACTTGCACTTTGCGCAAGTTCAATATCATACGCCAATGAGTCCATATTATGAAAATTTTCATTTTGCTATTTTTATTTAGAAATATTGCGGAGGTTACGTATTGCTTTTTTTTACACTATTCTTGCCATTAATGTTTGCTTTAAAAACGAATTCTACCTTGTCATTGCAAAGACAAGCGATAATGAAAGTCAATCGACGTCAACATTTTTTTTTACGCCAATGACATATCCATTGAACGAGCGACGAAACGATTAGCTACGCGTTTTTGTGCGTTCAGCTTCTAACGGCCGCAACCGTGACACACAGACAAACGACATTTCCGCTGATTTCGAAAGAGAGAATAGAAGACAACAAACTAAATGCGTAACGGCCAGTGGCATTCTTTCCAGGGACTCATTCGGAATTGTAGATTAGACTTGATTTTGCATTCTACACGAGAGAATTGCTCGACGGAGGAAGTGGAGAGCGTCCGAACGGCGAACCAATAAAAACAATTGGACGTGAATGATCAGTCGATGATCAATCAGGATAACGTTATCGATGTGTTTCCGCGAGCTAATGTATAAATCCAGCGCTGAACGGGCTAAATCGCAAAAAAAAAACCACAATAAACGGCGCTTCCGCGCCCGGAAAGTTCATTACGCGCGCTGGCAATTTGACGCGCGATATCAAGCATAATCTCGTGATATCCAATGACATGTACGTGTACGCGCAACTCTGCTGCGCGGTTTCATACGTAAAGGCGCTCACCCGAGAGAAAGAGCGAAAATAAAATAAGAGAAGTGTACGTGCGCGCGGGAATCGCACGGATCGGTTTTCCAATGCGGAATAAATTCAGCTGCGCGCGCGGTAATCGGAGCGAACTTTCCCTCGACAGCGGCATCGGCTTCCGATACGCGCGTACCAGCGATCACCGGATGGAATTAGAGTGGAAGTTAACTGACCTCCCGAAAGGAGATGCGACCGTCGTTGTCCTCGTCCACTTCGCTGATCATGGCCTTCAGACCCAGATGCGTCTGTGGCGCGCCGAGCACTTCCATCATTCGTTTCAGCTCGGCCAAGTCGAGGAAGCCGTCGTGGCCGTCGTCGAACCTGCACATGCATGCCAATTGGCGAGTTTACACACTTTTGAATTGGAATTGATGTAAATTTATATATATGGAAATACTGTGAATCAGCGGTACGCTTCGAAATTCGGAAAACGTTCCTACAGTACAATTGCGTTTACGCGAAAATGTTAACACGGCTGAGTCACTATCTCATTTATTTATTGCAGCGTCGAATTGCGATCGTTTATTTTTCTAAATCGCGGTCAATGTGCCAAGCAATCAAAAGATCGGCCAATTACAATATGTACAGTTGTGCAATTAAATGATTTTCTTTTCTAGCTTCATTGTACACATAATCTAATCAATTATCATTCATGTAATTGGCGCGATGCTCACTTGATTATCCGTAATTGCCAGCCCGTGCCAATTGATACCATTGCATTATTGCTGCTATCAATCGCACTATGCGTCAGTAAAAAGAGGACGTAACGCGGCAATTAATTAGAACGAGACAGCTTTTTCTCGACGCGACTCTCTCCTAATTAAACGATCTTCCACCTGCGATCAGGAAAGAAACGCAGCAACAATGAGAAACGTGACGTTCAGGGAAGCGATCGGATGTTGCTTTGTGTCATGATCAACCAAGTATCCTTCCCATCGAACCCGCTAAAATGTCGCAATCGATGCGCGGGAATCAAAGAGAATGGAGCAGCAAAATAAATAAGATCATTAATTTGCCATCTTTCCAGTAACAACTCGCACGCGCACACGCACGCAGCGTGTCTCGAGCAATTATCTTGCCGGCACAGGAGCCGAACTCACTTTACCTCGTGCGCTTCCGGTAACTTCGCATCGCGCACGCGACAACACAGAAAGCCATCTTTCTCGCGCGGATTCCGCGAAAAGACCAAGCTTTTGCCTTTCTTTGGAGGGTCCAGCGAAAATATTGGTTTTATGCGATTCATCTTTGCCATTAGAATACCTGACTGATTTATTCTCAATCGCGATGTGTCCATTTGAAGTGCACGAAAACACGCTGACATTTCGCGTGCTGTTTCCTTTACTACAGAAGAGCGTGACGCTTTTTATCACGCGAAATTTCTTGATCTTTCAGAGCGACTCTCAGCATGTCAGCATGATAAGTTTCCGTACGTAGGATCCATTTCATCGTTAAATTCCAAGTAGCCTGTAGTAGAAATCATCAAAAGCGCTCTTCATAAAGAGTTCAAGCCATCGAAAATCAGTTTTAACACGCACAGCAGAGTCAAGTTTGTTGCTCAACTTCCCTTTCATCTGAAAGGTCTCACGGGGGCTTGGCGAGGACAAAACGTGTCGGAGGCGCACTCCTTTTTCCTCGGCACACAGAGATGGAAAGGAGGCGCGCTCGAGGTCGTTGCACCATTCTCGCGTGTGCGCGAAAAAGAAAAATGTATGCACGTGTCAACGCTGCGTAGGTGCCGCGCAAAAGTTCCGGTCTTTCTGCGCAGGCAATTATTCTCGTCGTCGTTGATGGGTACGCCGGTACTCGACATCGTCGATCTCAACGTAATCTTTTATTTTGGATTTTTTTAATGCTCTCCTTTGTAACTGTTGTCCACTCCGACATTGCTCTTTGGATTCCAAGTCTTGATTGATGCTACGCCGTGACTTGCGAAAGTAGCTGCGTGCGTTTCAATTTTCCTACATCACAAATAAAAAAAGGTGGCGATCGTCCTTTGTGCCTCCAGAAGCTTTTTTAAGTTCTTTGATGGATATTCCATTCCCTTGTTTTCTTGTTGTCGTTCAAATTAAATTTCGATGCTCTAAAGAATGTCCTTCTGCAATCATCATACGTCACGCCATAGCGATTTGACGTTTTATTTGTTTTTATCTTGTTATCGTTGAAAACATTGCAAAGCCGTACAACTAATTGGTGCATACGGAAAATCTTTCAAAAAGAAGACATTAATTAGATATCGCGATGGTTTTGATTTTTGTGTTCATATTCATTGGATAATCCTGACAAACGATATCTTCAGGTATTAGATAAATCTACTTGCTGTTCTACAATTGTTGCGTGTGTTTTCGCTGATGCGAATTAATTAACTTAATTACTTCGACAACACAATGCTAATGAGAGCTGCTTCGAAAAGGAGGCCTAAGCTCGCGGTTTTCCATTTAAACTTGAAACTCGCTTGAAATTGACACAACCACTCGTGACTGCCATTGCTTTTTTCGCGCGACTCGGTACGACAGTTGTCATTGCGAAATGGGCATCGCTTGCAGTCGACGCAGAATTCGAAAATTTCGGAGCAACGCGTCGACAGGTTGTGACAGCGTGCACTGCTTGTACGATTCACTCGCTTGATTACCGCGTATCTTGTGTTCGTTGCTAATTTCGCCGTGTATCGGTATAAAAGTGCGGCATGCAGGTAAGCGACAACGCGTTTCGCCACGTTCGCGGTGGTTTTGCTAGTAGTCCAAAATGCAATGGCATCTGCTGTCCCATACGTCGACGGTTATAATGACTGGATTGCGCACGCTGCCCGTCTTTTCATCGAATTTATCGATCGACTGCGCACAATGTGGACATAATGATGAACTATTAGACCGTCTTGAATTCCTCTCGCGAAGCACGCTTTGTCTGAATTGCATTTGATAGTCACTCTGGCTTTGAATAATAACTCGCACCTAGACATTGACGCGCGAGGCAGAAAACACGATAGCAAGGGTGAAGAAGGGGTAAGACTCGCTTTTCGTCGTTGTATCGACAGCTACTCGGCTTCGTGACGTGTCGCTTTGCCGAGACATTTATTGCGCAACGCGCGCACCCGAGAGCGCGACGAGGCGGCGAGCTGCGGCTTAGATTTTCCGTTGTGCGCGCCACGTATCCCGCGCGCGTGACGTCTATGACGGTGATCCGCGCGAGTTGGCGTTGCGATGTCTTTTCACTTTCCCATTCCGAGCCATGAGTATATGCACGCGCCACTTTCCTTTTTCCGCGGCCGACGATAAGTCGCTGTTTAACAGCTCGTTACGACGATTCGTTATTTTAACGGCAAGGAAAGTGATAACGAAAAAAAGTGGACCGCTTGCAGGCTCTTCCATTACTTCGGGAGCTCGGATCGAAATGACAATTTTTTCTCTTCGCTCGCCAAGGCCACTGATCATTGTGGTACCCACGTAATCTCCGCACTTTCGCAAAAGCCACGGGCGTAAGATCATTTTTATTGCTACCTCGAGTCAAGTCCGTCAAATTCTGACGGGATGCCTCTTTTGACGCGCGCATTTAATGCGATTGCGTTTGACTTCGATTGACTCGTAGACAAGGAAAATAGAAAGTAAACACGATTTGTGAAAAAGAAAGAGCGACAGTTCGCAGCTTTGATTGATTTCGTTTCCTGGCTGCTCATCTATCGACCGGGGCGCTGATTTTATAATTGTTCGAGAGGTCGATGACCCACGCGCCCTCCAAAAATAACTTTCAATCCATCGGAATTATCCAAGCCGCGCGCAAGCAAATCTAATTGTCTACAATTAGAAATTCATTGTAAACGCGCCGAACAAGTGTCGTGGTCTGCTGATGTACCGTGCCGAAATGTAACTTGAGCTTGGGAGCCAGCACAGCGTAGCTCCAGTGCAACGAGAAATGTAGAACGATGCGAAGAGAAGAAAACAAAAGCTCCCTTCCACTGGCGCGGCGAAAAAAAAAATCAAAAAACAAAGGCACGCGTCCGCGTGGGTGTCGTTCAGGTATATACTTTTAGCCTCTTTCCGACGTCGCCGACGCGAAAGCGATCTCTCCGTCGCGTCCTTGAGGCAAGAGAATTAAATCACCTTTTTTTTCTTTCGTCCTTTCGCATTATGGGAACCGAAAAGCTGCCTAGAATTCGTCAGATTCCACAACGGGAATTACGTAATTTTTTTTTTTTTTTTTTCACCCGGGAGAATCGGGTTGGGTTTGACATCGCCTTGTACGGCGGCCGCTGCTAAACACCATTCTAATGTAGAAATTTCCACAGACATCGATTTACGAGAACGCCGAATTTATATTCATACGGGCATACGAAATTCCTGTTTTCGGAATATTATTTCATGAATTAGCGAGCGCGCGCGCGCGTGTGTTTTCTCCTCATTTTCAACGTGGCTTTCTCTCGCACAGCCAAGCCGAGAAGCTTTATTTTCGTCAACGTTCACTTTTCTTGCCACGTAAAATTCAATGGAAATAAAAAACAAGAAAAAAAAGAAAAAGTGTGCGTAGCCTTGACGAAGGTCAGCTGCTTATCGGGTCTCCAGTTATCGCGGCAAGAAAAAGCAACGAGGTGTTCGGGCGCAAAATTTGTACACACGCGCCAGGAGGACCGCGCGCCCATGTTCGCGAGCGGTCGACCGCAGGCCATTCCGAAAATGCAGAAACGAATTGCGAAGCCGCGCGGAGGCGCGTTTATTTCGAGAGTGGAGCTCGGCTGCGGCTCCTCGCGCCGATACGCGGCAGCGCAATGCCCATCGCGTGGATCGCGCGCGCTCTAATTTTACGCGATCGATGCGCGCCGCGGCAGGAAATATCTGGAAGAGGCGTCCCGGTGGTCCGGCGCGTCGGCCCCGACCGAAATAAAGACGGACGCGATGTTATATGTGCGCGCGCAAGCTCGCCCTCGGCGCGTCGCGCTTCCAGAGCCAGAGACTGCATCTTGCGCGCGCGCGCGCGCTTGTCCGTGGCGTTCTTTCGACGTCGCCGGTATGCACGACGGAGCGCACCGCGCTTGGGAGTGCGTTTCGCCGAGGAACCCTCTGGAAGTTGAAATTCGTGTCTCCGCGCGATCGCACGAGAAACCGAGAGGTCGTAAACAGGCCAGTTTTAGACGGCGAGCGACCCGCAGCATCATCTTTCTCTTGTCATAACTATCTGTGTGGCACTATAAATACGGGGTGCTACATGCCTGCAGCCTCTCTCTCTCTCGCTTTCTCTCTCTCCCTCCCTATACCCTGCAGCCTGGAATAACATCGAAGAAAGAGGATGTCTTTCTTGGGAAACAGCCAATGTCACGTCCGCTTGGACTGCGCGTACGCATCCCGTGGGCTTTTGCGGCTCTTTTACTCGGAATCCGTGCAGCTCAATTTTCAAGTCGTCGTTATTAGTTTGGTCTTTTTCATTTGCTGTAATTGTCAGCTTGACAACGAAAACAAAACTATTACACCACGCGCATTGTCCTCCTGAAAGTTCGACTGCGCAATTGTGCGACATAACTAAATCGATTGAAACGTCATAACCCAGCTTATTCAAACATCGACATTCGTGATTTGTATTCACGTCGAGGCTGCCAGCAGCAAGCATTGAAACGACGAAAAAGAGAACAATTAGTCGAGGGGCTTTTGTAAAAGGCATTGTCAGAGCTCATCATCGGAGCTCTCGTCGCTACAACCCCACGGGCTGTCTCCCCCTCTTTGACCTATATTCGTAAGCCGAGAGGGGGCGAGACGGCGAATTTCCCTTTTATTTGCAGTCGCCCTCAAAAAAAGAAAAAAACTCGCGTCATCGAGGACGCCGGATAAAAAACATTTCGGTTTTTACATCGATCTCGTAAAAGATCTTTTTGATTTCGCAAAATATTTTCGTCCAACGATAGCTTGATCGTGCTCGAGACACAGTCGAACTTTCCTAAAGGCGTCGCGCGCAAATTAATCGCGAAAGAGAGAGAGAGAGAGAGAGAGAGAGAGAGAGAGAGAGAGAGCGTCGCCAGGAAACTCGCATCGAGAAGACTATAACGAACGCGAAGGGGCCATGTGAAAATCTCGCGCTACGCCGTCGAGACAGCGCGCGCGTGCCCGCGGAAAACCGACGTGCCATACACAAAAGTCCGAGGGATATGCCTTTTAAGCGAGCGGCGACGACTTTCGCATCCGAGTGAAGATTTCACCTGTAGCCTCGAGAGCGTTGACAAAGCGCGGGGAGCCCCGCGCCGATGAAGCTCGACGATAAGAGGCGTCGCTCGCTCTCTCCGAAGGTCTTTGGCGAATAGCATTCCTTTCCCTGTTTTTTTTTTTTCTTTTTCGTTTCAGCAGCCAGGTGGGCCGGATCTCTTGAAATTTTGCGCGCGAGCGCCTGGCGAAGCGTGCGAACGGCACATTGAATCGCGCGTTACCATTCGCTCTCGTTTTCTCACTCGCAATTATCCGCGAGAGCGCAGTGTCGTTTGTTTAGCCACCTACGCGGATTAGACATTGCGCAGGTGAACTAGTTTTTCCTCTGCTCGCAGGCTGTCACTGCTCCGTACGCGTAGACGGCAGCTCGATTCCAAATCATCGCCCCCCGATCAAGACTAATTCTGTAAATTTCCCGCTGTCTGCTGACTCAGCCATCAATTTCCTGGAGTGCAGCTTTATCACTATTATCCGCTGATATATGACATACAGTTTTCGATGAATCCGGAACGATTCATTGATGACACCTTGGCGAAGCCAACGGTCAGTCAATGCGCCGATAAATGAAATCCGACTGTTAAATTAATTAACATGGCTTCTCGAATGCATTCATTTGTCGAAGACGGCTATTCCAGCAGATTAGAATACGCGCTTGATGCATTTTTAACTGCTTCCTTATTTCCACCGCTTGTCTGTTTCGGTGACGGCATTGGAATGACTACTCGACGTCGTTCTTGTACTTACAGCTCGAGGAAGTATCGACATACGAGTTTTTGTGGCTATTGTAAATTCCGTTGGTTATTTACATAATTGAAGTTCTACAAGTATAGAATATCGATGGTAACGGTATCTTCTTCTTATAGCGCCGTTAATTGATTTTTCACGTTAAACCTAGAAGTGGCGCGCGTTCACTTTTGTCTGTTTTGAGTGGACGTGCAGCAGCGCTGAATAAATTAAGACGATCTGTATTAGAAATCGCTCGTATCGTCGATTTTGCTTTTCGCGCACGCTCCAGTCCTAAGTTCGAGCGAACGCGTCGCTCGTCTCGCTTATTTTCAAAACAAACAATTTTACAGTTAGGGACTTTCGAGCGTGCAGATACGCATCGGTACGCGTCGAGTTTATATACGCGAACGCGCCGACTAATTTTCCACCCTACTTTCGTTTGACGTGCGCGCATATGCGCTTTTACAGAAGCTCGTTAAGTGCGGCAATGTGTCAAGTTTAATGCGCTGTAACAAGGAAAAAAAATGAAGCGCACGACGAGTTCAGTGTCGATTGTCGTGTAGACTAATGTTAGTCGAGGGAGAGAAACTATTTGAAAGCGATCGCGAAAATTTCGAAAGTTTTAACGATGAAAGTTTCATTTGACAGATGATAAATTGGAAAAGTGGGCGATTGCGAATATCGAAAATTAATTCATCGGACGTTGTACGAGTTTGAGGTATTACCAACGAACGCAATTATTTTGCACTGATATAACGTTTTGTATGTTATCAGAAAAGGGTCACACTCAAATGACTTATAAGTGACTCCTGCAAAAAAATCAAAGCAATAACTTTTCAACCTTACATACCGAATAAATTACAATTAATACTTGTTATACAAGTAAATATTTTCATTTGGTATAATGATGCGCCTTGTATAAGTTGTGTTTTTCATAGATAACTCTGAAAATGTCCTACGCAATATATAAACTGGTAACGCGTAAATGAGACCATTCCTCACTAACAACTGCGAATTAGCAAAGAATGAAATTAACAAGCGTGTAGATGTTCACTTCTCGTACAGAATCGAAGAGATTTTTTTTTCTTTTATAACGAATCATCAAATAAAACATCGTCTACTATGCTTTCGGAAAATTTGTTTTCTTTTTAATTCCCGTAAGAAATTGCACTTCGCTATAGGAAAGGTCAGATCAATCAAGCTCGCTAGTGCCGTTTTTCCATCAAAAATCAACGATGTAGGTGCTGAATATTAGTAAACAAAACTTTTTGCAGTTGGAATGTTTAGAAAAGAGCCCTTGAAAAAAGGGCCGACAAGCGTCAGACAGCATAAGAAAGCAAGCCCGAGGTTACGTCCCTTGAAAATGCGCACTCCAGATCTAATAGACTCCAGCGTTGGACGATCGAACGGTACAAACTCGGCCCTCGCTGGCAGGCCGCCGCTGCCCAAAGCCAAAGAAAAGAAGAGCAAAAGAGCGAACGCGCGCGCGCGCGGAGTAGAGAGGCAGAATGCGACGAAGAAGGACCGAAAAAAAAGGGAGAGAACGTCACCTGTTGAAGGTCTGCTCGTACTGCTTGATCTCTCGCCTGGTGAACTCGTGGAACTCGGTGTAGACGTTGACGAAGCGGTACTGCTTCTTCACCTCCTTGCCCTCCTCCAGATCCTCGTTGATCTTCTGCCTCCTGTTGAGGATGTTGCTGAGCTCCGCGTCCGCCGGCATGCTGCTCCGTGCGGGGCTGTACCCTCGCGATCAAGGTCGACAGAGCTGCTTGTCCCGCGACGGCCTTGGCGCTATCGACCGGCCCGACGGCACTGCGTCCAGCTGGCAATCGATCTGCTCGCCGCGAAGGCTCGATGAGCTCGACGACTCGCTCCCGGTCTGGGGAGATTCGCGGCAGGGAGCAGATCGCGTGGTCGGCTGCGCGAGCGAGAAGCGAGGATCGCGCGCCCAGAGGAAAGTCCACGCGGCAAGCACGATGGAACCTGTTCGCGCTGCAACGTGCGCGCGTCGACTGCTCCGCTGAGTGTACACGCTAGGTAGCGGACGTTTTTTCCCTCCCGAGCCGCAGTCGCTCGGCGCTGTATGCGCCAGCGCGCCGCCGCCGCCGCCGCCGCCGCCGCCGTCACGTAGACGGGGTAGCAATGCGCGACACCGGGAGGACCGCTGCGCCGCTTCGCCTGCATCGGCTCTTTTCCAGCTGCTGGGCCCCTTCTTGCCTGCCGCCTGGCGGATGCGAGGTGTGGGTGTGAGGATGAAAAGCCCTACAAAGGTTTTTAATGGAGAACGCATGACGGATGTTGCCACAGACTCAGACGTAGGATGGTAATAGATGTACTGGAATTAGTTCAGCTTCCCTTACAGTGCAACTAGTGATCCTACATATCGATTGCCAATTTTTCTTTGAATGTCAAAGTGCCGAATAATTATTCATTATTATACAATGGTGTCCGAGCTGCAGGTCACTTTTCACGTTATCTTTCATGTTGAATTTGAAAATATCGCATAAAATTTATTGATGTTACTTCATAGGAATATCATTGTAATAAGTAGCTATTAATTGATTTGCAAGTTTGTTCGAGCAACTTATACAATCATATTTGTAAGAAAGAGTTTCTACATATATGTATGAAGCGTTGCATGTTTTATTATAGGAAATCCACAGAACGCGGTGCAATAGTTTGGCTAGTCTCATATCCAATTCACTCACAATTAACGTACTTTTACCGCTGGTATGACTAGGACCAATAATATGTAGTTGTCCTATTATCTCATTTAAATTTGTACACAAAGCTTATAGACAACATTTGGTTGTAGAGACATAAATAATATGAAAATACAATTTTTCAACATTCAAATCAAGGATCTTCAAACCAAATACATTCAGGTAATGAAAGATATTTGGAAGGGTTAATTTGATTAATCAAAAATAATCGAATTTGAATAAAAAATACGCGATGCTCGAACGTTCGCCTTTAGTTTCTAACTATTCCCTGTATCTCAGTTAGCTCCTTGAAGTCTCTCCAACCGCGTTATTTTTATAGCTTTCCGAATGCACGGCGAACGCGAGTCAGTGAAATTTCGCTCGGTACAAAATACAGCTTGGTTTTTACGTGGCAATTGAGATGGTCGATTTTTTGCGTCCTTTGAACGCAAAATACAAAGTCGGGCGACGGCCTTGCGCGCAAAATATCGTCGCACGCTAAACGGCAATGAATGTATGCTGTTGGACCGTGTAGTCGAGCGAGTCGGCACGCGAAGCACGAAGTTATACTCAAACCAGAGATAAATAGATAATTTCTGCTAAAAGTGTCAGCGATTAGTTGCGAAACAAGTAAACACGAAGAAAGGAAAGGGAAAGGCGTATTACACGAGTATCCGTATATACGCGAAATACTTAATAAATTTCGATGCCCGCGGTCGTAAAACCCTAAGTTAACAAATGTTCATACTTTGAGATTACCATCGAGCACTGCTGTCGCCGCGTCATCGCGAAAATGCAATGACGGGGCAATTTCAAGATGGAGACAGTGGCGGTTGGGAAACACATGGGAATCCGGCGGCAAATCGGAGCGAGAGACTGGCCGGTAAGTCGGAAAGCAGCAAAAATTGCTGCTCTTTCGATTCCCGTAAAGTCTCCCGAAAAAACGCACTCGACAAAAAAAAAAGAAAAAAAAAATCACTAATATTTCTTGGCACGAGGAAGTGCTATAATCAAACGATACGTAATAATCGATATTTATCTGCAAAGTCCAACTCGAGTTAAAGGATACGGCGTTGTCGTACGCAAGAACTTTTCGCGCAAATTTCTTTTTCTGACATCTTTTGCGTACATGTCGTCGACCTCGTCAAGATATGTGATTAATGCAATTCGGTTATATAACTAACTAATATAAAAGCTACATTCGCTTATTTTATTTATTAATATTTGCATAAGTTAGTTTAGTATTGCTCAAGTTAATTTTGTGTTTTGATTATTTTTATGTTTGAGACGAAAATATTTTATTTGTTTTCGGCGCATCGTAGTTTCTAGTTCCAATAGTGAATTAGATAATCTTATTAAGTATTTGAAAAGTTACGAATATAAATGGATTTCGTAAAGCACAAGATCGACTTTGAAAATTCACCTGACAGGACCGCATCGCCGATAGCTTTAAAATAAAATAATTCCGATTGTTACGCAAATACCGAGGCTCGTGTTAGCAACGCATCACCGGACATCAATAGTTTTAGGACTATCGACGACTAAGCGGAGAAAAGTGATCGCAGATATTGTGCCGCGCTCCGTGGAAAACTTGAAAATAAGCAAATCAGAGACCACAACATTTGTCGAGAGATTGGTTGTCGCAGACCGTTCCTTTGAATGTATTTAACCGAAGTAAACCGGAAGTTTTTCGAAATGCAACGCCTGTAGGGATCACGAGGGGAATATGAATGTTGCCGTGGAAGAACGTGACTTTGAAAAAGTTGCCTTAACCATAGGAAGTGCAAGGAATCAGCTGGAATCGTGGTATGTTTTTGTCAAGTAGCACGCTGATTTGCTCGAGCTCTTAAAATAATAATTTCAGTGTAAATGCACGAGACTAAATACTCGTGCAGCGGGATGCTTTCATAACATATGTTATTGCGCAACTGTCAGTCAATGCTCTCAATGTGATTCTCGTTCAAATCCTTTCTAATCAAGTTTACCAGAATATGTACGAGGCACATTTTAAAATGAAGTTTCTTAATCAATTGACTCATTGCAGATCATGAAAGATATGAACAGTCTTTCAGCCTTCCTTATGATAAAAATTGAGAAACTTGATCGATATAGACAAACGAAGATCATTCCTCTATTTTACTAATGTAACTGATACAATAAATTATATTTATTTAACTACTCTACGTTGAAGATTAAATTAAGCATGGCTTACTTATCTATATCGTTTACATATGTGACGTCATTATCATTCTTTGCCGAAGCACTGGAAAATTTGTTGACTTGGACCATCTAGCTACAAGAATTATTCCTGATTATTTAATCAGGAATAATAATATGAAAAGTACATTGAATGATTTGTTTCTTCTATCTGGCCCATTAGTGAAATATTGCAAAATCTTTGAATTTATTGGGCGGAACTTGTTAATTCACCGTCCTCTCGTTATTATAATTTTCAAGTATTACTTGTGTTGATTAAATTATTTTCAATGCACAAAGTATACATAGCAATCTTTTAAATCCAGCTTCAAAATATTTGAAATAAGCTTTTAGAGTAAGCGAGGAAATAGGTATTATTAGCACTGATCAATGGACTTTTTTATTACGATAACGATGTCCATGATGTCTAATAAGATAATAATGTCTTGTAAGAGAAATAATCCATCGATTATTGTAGATTAGGGAATGAACGGAGTAATAAAAAATTGATCAAAGAATTAGAAAAAGGAAAAAAAATGACATTTTCGAAGTTTAGAAAGAACCTCTTGTACAAGATAAAGTAATTTTCTTCTTTCTCTATGTAGATGTCAGCACTCAGCACACAGCGCTGAATGCACATACCCTTTTCACGGACCAACTAAAACGTGATTGGTCGAATTCGAAAAGCGGGTATAAGCAAGCCGCTCTGATTGTAGTGTTCGTTGGACGCAACGTAAGATAAAAAGAGAAGTTGGTGGCAGCGTTCTGTCAACGGATGTTTTCGTATCACCAGAAGACGCACGCGAGTTGACTTGTCGACAATTTATTACGTCCTCCTCGTTGTTGTTAGATCCATGACGACGATGACTACCCTTTCGCTCCTTGCGAGCCACGACGAACTTGTGCGATGTACCAACGTCCTTGTCAACGGCTCCTGCGAAGGAGGTTAGTTTTCATCTTCCTCTCAATGTATTTCCCGCATTTGCATGGTTTTCGAGGAAGATATTTGTATTGTGAGACTTCCTCGAGGCTATTTGCAATGTGCACATCAATATATTTTGAATTGGAGTTGAATGGTGGTGCGTGGATACAATCGAATAAAGTGGGAAATGAATGCGTCATCGTGTTTGCTGTCGACATTTCCAGTCAACGGTTTTTGCTATTTACGTGATAAATTGTACAAATTGTAATATTTCAATGTACTTTCATATCTGAGCATGCATGCTTACTTAATTCATTTGAGATCGATAAACAGTCGGTATTATCGTTTTTTATTACATTTTTTGATAAACTTTCGTGTTTATGCGCATCCGATACATGCATGCATTCTAAAGATATTTCAACTCAGCTTGTTTGTAATTTATTGTGATCCATTTGTTTTCTATCATAATAAATTAATATCTGTAACAGAAAAAAAAATCATTTTAATCATTGTAATAAGATAACATTCAATGGGAACAAAATTATTTACAGAATTTCTTCAATTTGCTATCAATCAAGAGGAAATGAGGCAGAAGTGGCTTGCTTCTGTTCAAGAATGCCAACGTTTACATTCTGCATTAGAAAAAGCTCACCGTGAAGCATCTAATCTGGATCGTAAACTAAGTCATGCTAAACGCTTGTTAGAAGAAGAAAAAAAAAGACGAAGAACTGCTGAAGAACAACGTGATATATGTGTAAGTGTCAAAATCAAATTGATATTTTACAGTAAAATAAATATGATGTCTTGTACTATCAGATCAAAGTAAGAAAGTGTAAAAAGAGAAGTGCTGAAAAATCAACATGTGTTTTTGGAAGTGACAGATTTTCTTTGATTTATATTTGAATTATTAAATGGAATTCTATATTGCAATTTTAGGAGCGACAAATTGCTTTGGTAAGAGATTTATTCAACAACGATGGTGGCAGAAATCTCAATGATGAGACTAGAGAAAAACTTCAATTCTTGAACAACACAACCCTTAATGGACGTAACAGTACTCATCTAAGAGATCATCTTCAGGACAAGTATGAATTCTCTAAATGTTTCTGAAATTTTAACCAAACTGACAACGTTTATTTATTAAGTTTTTTTTTTATTGTTCTCAGATTAAATACAATAACAGAGCTGGACTCAACTGGTTCTCTACTGAGTGATGTGAGTTGTTTTTCTAAGTCAGAAGATGATTTGGACAGAAGTATCATACTTCAACAAACTCACAAAAAGCGCGAATGGAAGGAACATCGGCCAAGTGGCGAATATGTAATCAGTAGTAAAAGACGTAGTGCTCTGCAAAAAGCCGTGGATTTGAACAGCTCTGATAAAATTATAGCAACAACGACCCTTCATATGCCGAAAGATGGTACTATAACTGCATCTTCAGTTATCGAGGCGATCCCCGGTGATGAAAACAAGGATCCTCAGCCGAATACGTCACAAAATAGCTCGCGCAAGAGGCGGAAGAGTTCCGAACGTCCCAACAGGTCAAAAAGCAGTCATTTAGATCCAGATGTACCACCCACTGTAAATATTTTTGAAAGTTTATTTAGCTCGACTTTAAAATCGTACCTAACGAATTTCGTTCATTTTCAGCCTTCTGCACCGAAAAAAGATATTTTAAGTTCCAACTCCGATTCGGAAAATATTTGCAAACCTAGCCCAAATATTAATGGCTTCACAATGAGTTCTAGATCATCTAGAGTTCATACTTTCATTTCGAAAACCGTAGTAAAACCCGAAATATGCACACCATGCGGCAAAAGGTATTGATTATTTTTTCGTAATCTTTTCTTCTGCGATTACCGTATTACTTTGAATATTGAATATCTTTTATTGTTTTAGATTACACTTTGGAAAGCCGGCATATAAATGCAAAGATTGTAGAGCAGTAAGTCATTCAAAGTGCAGAGAGTTCGTGCCTTTACCTTGCGTGCCGACCGGAAATACACCCACACTTCGCGGCGCAACGGTATGTCAGTTATTATAATAGATAAGATATGAGCTCTTTCCGTTGTCCAATGAACTTTTTTATCAAGAAATTTATGATAGAACTCGAATGTCCAATAAGGATATATTTGGAAGGCAATATGGTTATTTTACCATATTTTACAGAAAATAATTATAATAATTGAACTTTTGCAATTTCCAGGGAACCATTGCTGATTACACGCCAACAACACCACCGATGGTACCATCGTTAGTAGTGCACTGTATAAATGAAATTGAGCTTCGTGGTATGGGTGAAAGAGGCCTGTACCGATTAAGCGGTGGAATCACTGAAGTCAAGGCACTTAAGGAAAAGTTCCTAAAAGGTCGCGGTGCTCCAAATTTGTCAAACACCGATATTTTTGTGATATGCTCGACCCTTAAGGACTTTTTGCGTTCGCTCAAGGAGCCGCTCATTACCGTGAGTTTATGGTCCGATTTCGCTAGAGCAGCTGAGTTGAATGACTTAGAAGCCGATGGAGCTTTATACCAGGCAATAATGGCACTGCCACAACCGAATCGCGATACCCTGGCCTTCTTAATGCTACATTTACAAAGAGTAGCCAGTTTACCTGAATGCCAGATGCCAATCAGTAATCTTGCTACAGTGTTTGGACCGACTCTCGTAGGATACAGTACTCAACAACCTTCGCAGAATTGTATGCTGTCGGAAACTAGTACTCAAGTTGCCGTGAGTGAACGCCCATTAGATTATCAATATGATTCATTACCAATGTTATTTCAACAAACTGAAGTGTAAAATTGCATTTGTTATCTGTAGATTGTTGAAAGCCTACTGAACACGCCATCAGATATTTGGGCAAGATTCGTTAATCCCGAACCGCCTAACGATATCGCTACACCTAAACATTTGAGGTACACACCTTCGACAGAGTCGCTATTGAAAAAAGGATTTTTCCATACGCCAATGAGTTCTTCGTAAGTTGTAACAATTGATCAATTTATAAATAACATTTTTCATTAGTGCAATATTATTAACTTGAACTTTTTCTGTTCTAGAAAATTATTTTCGAGAAAGAATAAAAAGTACTTTGCAACTCCGCCCTCAAGACATCAATACTGAAAATGTAGACTGTAATTAACGCTAATGGTATTTTTAGTCACTAGGTGCATAGATTGTACTTTTTAAACATTTTCAATGGATTATAAACTTTTTTGTTTATAACTATTTATGATGCGGTTTTCGAAAAAAAGAAAACTGAATAAATGCGTGAAAGCTTTTTATTATTTGATAGTATTGTATATTTTTGGTACAAAATGTTTGTTGTTATTATATCTTTTTTAAATGTATTGACTAATCGAGGTATAATATAAACATCACTTAAATTTCTTAGTGCCTTGTCTTAATTTTATACACACTATTATTACAAGTATATTTTAGTAACAAAAATAACAATGCTTAATTATATTAATTTTTTAAAAAAATAGACAGTAGATGTACAATAGCCAAATAGGCTCAGGAATATGTAATGAAAAAATCGATTTTTATTTTCTTTGCATCAAAGAACATTTCTACAAAGCGATAAGAAAAAAAAACATTCAAATATAATTACATATACTCATTGCGTGCGTCTCGCACAACGATCAATCTCTGGATTACAAGACTAGAAAAGCGTAGCGGCATGGGAAAAGACGAGATTCCTTTTTTACTTTATTTTGCGTTTGTACAGAACTTCTCCTTCAACTCCCAACAAGAATCCCAGAATCTCTTCAAGCGGTTATCGCCGTTCGAGCAGAAGTGTCGAAAGTCCTGAATAATTTTCTTCTGAAACAATTCATCACCAGTACTTAGTGTTGGATACTTCCACTTTCGACTGAGCATGTGATTCCACGACCACAAAAATCCCATCTGAAATAAAATGTAATACTTTACAATGTTTTCTCAACAAAATTTACGGAGTCTATGTATCCAGTAATATGTGTATTTACTCGTCGGTCCATATTGTAATCGTCTTTGTTCTTTCCACTAACGTGCCGCGTTATATAGGCCTCATGAGGACTAGGTTGCTCAGCGTGAATCGGGTATCGTTTTTGCCCAGCATTGCGTCTAATTATATTTGCGCCAGTATGCTGCCGTGGCCGAGGACTGATTGTCGATGGTACAAGAATGAATGCATTGCCGGAAACGTGTACATACTGATGAGCGTTTTCGTTGCCTTCGACGAGGCAGCGCACAAAACCAAAACGCTGTAGAATCGCCTCTTGAAAGAGGAACAGACGCTGTGCGTAAGTGTCCTCGCGGAGCTCTGCGAGCGAACATTAAATTTTATCATAGGTTTGACTAACTGTTATATATTAAGATAATTTGTAAGACTAATTGCCTTGTATTTGTAAATCTTAACTGCAAGTTCAAAGATTTAATTAATTATAATATTAAATATTAATTAATTGGAATAAAGAAAATTTTGAATGAGTTTAAATGTCTTGGAGAAACATGTTGTTTCAACTGCGTTCATACTTATTCGTCAAACAAAAAAATATCAAAAACGTTTAACCAACGTTCTAATATTGTTATTAGTTATACCTTCAAATAAGTATCGTTTTCCAGCCATTAAGCACTCGGTGTCTAATGGTATAAAAATTGGTCCACGCAACGGATCACTTTTTGTAGTAAATGGTAGAGCTAACAAATCACTAGGAACTGGTATCATTTGTATTCCACACAGCTGAGCTTTTCGTTGCCAAATGAATATCTATATGACATTGAAAAAATATCTTACTTAGCAACAAATATTGGATTTTGTTGAATAAAAGAAAATCTTACAAGATCTGAAACAACGCTACCCGAAGCTGCCATCCACTGCACAACTAATTCGTAGGAATGGTCGGCTTTGAGTATAGATTGATACCTTAGGTGACCCCATTCTACGCGGTCGCTCTTATTGTTAATGTCGATATCAAGATGCGTATGCTTATACATCGGTACTATAAATATAACCATATTAATAATTATTCGAAATTCCAACAAAACATTAAAAAATGTAATGTACCACTGTAATCTCTTTCATCAGATACATCTGATAAATCTAAATCATTTCTAAGGAAAACGGGAACATCAGATTCATCAATATTATCACAGCTAGGAATCGATATCGGATGAGATATGTTTGATAATAGGCTCGACGAGCTCGCGTTTGACTGAGGTTCACACCAACCCTTCGGCGCTCTCATCTCTATTTCTACCCATTCGTTTTCAAAGCTTTGCAGATCACCCAGCGGAGGAGAATATTCGACTCCTATAATGTTTTACGTGCAACATGTAGGGAGGAAAGCTCTTGTCACGTTAAATTAATTTGTTTCTTGTTACCTTTTTGACTATCTTTATCTTGAACGATATGATACAAGTAAAATCCAAGCATAAATGGTTTGGAAAAGTCCCCGGATGCATGACAAATCAACTTCTCTTGAATCATTCCCTATAAAGCAAAAGAAAGATAAATCATTTGAAGCAACGGACAAATCAATCCGATAATTTACCTTCATAATGGTAATGGCATTTTCAACAGTAACTCCACCCTCGATATGGCTATTTAACCACTGTACAGCATCAGCACTTACGAAAGTTTGACTAGGCAGTGAAGGATGCTGAGTGAGAAAACCTACTCCATTATGTGGATGCTTCATAGCTTCGAGTATCTCCGTGGCAGGAGATGTGCTTTTTATTTTCGTAACCTCTGGGACGAAACTATGAAAACAAGTATGCGAATGAAAATTACAATCGGAATTGACGAGTGTACCAAAGATAAAGATTCATTACTTTTCATCGTTAACTTCTAAGTGATCTTGTTGTTGTTGCTCGATCGCTAGAGGTAAAACAACTTCGCTGGCTGGCGATACTCTCCCGCGATCCATCACCTTCGAACCAGATCTATCGCGATTGAAAAGTATAATTAATATCGGATGGTCCTACAATCGAAATACCAAATTCTATGACTCACAGCACACACCGTATATACACCCATACACAAACATCAAGGGAATATTGCTCAGCTATAATGTGCAAAAAAAGCGAATATGCGTCTGAATATGTACATAATGACCGTTTGCAAAAGTAAAAAGAGTATTATTTTTTTAAAATGCGTTAAAAGAATGTAAAAATTATATTATACTATAGCGTATTATTATACTATATATATTATATTACTATAGCATAATAGTGCTGAATACGAATGTATTAAAATCGAAAGCTTAAAAACAGTATTGATAGTTAAGAGTGAATTACACTCGATAGAAGCACATAGCTTTATCAAAACACAGTTGGCTGAGTAGCGTTAAATAATTTATAAATACCATTAAACATTTCTATTTACAAACACAAATAGTACTACAATTCATAGGAAAACAGTTTTTGCGATTTTCAAATCTAATAATCAATTAACACAAACAAAGATTCTTCGAAAATGACAATTCGTAGCTTGTAGAATGGGTGGTTCATGATACGAAGTAGAAGTAAAATGAAAATAAAATGAACAAATGAACAAACCTGTAGGGTACGTGGTGAGAAGTGTCGAGGAAGGTGCGACAAGTCACAGACGTGTGCATTGCTTGCTTTTCCTGTACAAACAACCCCGTCACTTTCTCACGCACTACCTTCGTGAAAAATGATACAGTTTAAGGAAAGTTCTACCAAAATCACCAAAGGAAAAAAAAAAAAAAGAATGGAAAAGCTCTCCTTATCTATTACAGTCGAGCAAGTGCAAAGTATTAGTAAATTAGTGTTTTAGCTGTCGAAACTTCAAGAAATTATTCTATAATTATTGAGCTACTATTTGAATATCGATATCGTTCCAAAGCAAACTTTTTCTTGAAGTTCGAACTCATCCGAACATAATACATAATTAATAAACTAGAGAACAGTGCGTGAGCATAGCTGACAATCAAAACAGCAAACCTTAAAAAGTAAAAATGAAGAAGTCAGTGGTAATCAGCAACCTAAGCTACATAGGCGTGCGAACATGTGTAAAGTACGAGTAAAGTCTATCGAGCTGTAATGATTGAAAAAACATTCATCATCTTCAAATCACATTCGTTTGGCAGTATCTACAGCAGTGCAATGTAATGAAAAAGTTAATACGAAAGTAAGAGCCAAAGCGAGCTGGATACACTTATAAACTAGTATAGAACAACACACTCGAATCCACAAAACTGTCTATCATGATGATTGATCAAACCTTGGTCTAGGCTTCTCAGGCAGTCGATTGCTTCCCAGACGTTCTCGGAACGGTGAATTGCCTACGAGGTTGTTTTGCTAAAATTCGCAGAGCAAAGATAACGCAATGGTTCATTAATACCGTCGAATCACATCTACATGTATATAAGAAGTGTGCAAATGAGCACACGAAAACTGTATATAAAGAATTTTTGCTACAGTCTTCGTGCGTAGATGCACGATATTTCTTTACGCATTACTTCTTATATATTGCTATATTGATGAAATACAATGACAGATTTACGACAGTGATACGCCACGTGTAGCAAGCTTTTTAATAGTCAATTCATTTCAAAGGTTGACAGCTACCTCATTGGCAATGACGTCAAACTTTGAAATTTAACGAGTAATTGTATTCAAGCGAAACTAAAAAACAAAAATAAACAAAAAAAACGAACAATATAAAAAAATATAACTATTAAAGTGTCGAGCGTGTGAGCCGTGTGCGAATTGCTTAGCAGAACTATCAACAATGTATAAATTGGTATAGTATGCCTCGTTGATCCTCTCCTCGGATAAGAAGACACTCTTGCGGCACTTAAGAAATGTTGAAAAAAAGAAGGCAAGATATTGCTTGAGAAAAAAAATAGACAAAATAGGTACAGAAAAAGAGAAAGAGAGCGGTGTTGGGGTGGTCAAGGGCTTGTACCTGGTTAGTGAGGGATACGAGGCTCGTGCTATGCCTACGTCTGGTCAGGTGAGAGGCAGGATCTCTTGGGAGTGGCCCGCCAAGAGCTGTCGGGCTCTGAAACACACCATGCTCACTCTCGGGCCCCCGTATCCACTGATGACCAACATTGGCCCGTGTTATATTTTTTCCACCTTATGATTCGTTTGAAATTTAAGCGCGCGAGCGTCCATTTTTTCCAGATTTTTCGCTTCACGATTCCTTCTTCAATGACGAAAAATTGACGGTACTCGTTCTTTTTTAAGCGTTAGTGTTGTTCAAGATTAATCGGTTAAAGGTTTTGAATTGAGAGAATGGAAAAACTAAAGAAATTGAATAATAATAGAGCAACAAACGGCTACGTCAATTGTTGGTAATTGAAGTTTGTTAAATAAAAATTAAAAATAAGATTAGTGTGTAAATTACTACTGAAATCTATTATCTAACTGTGTCATTCAAAGTAAGCAATAATGTTATACTAATTAGTGCTGCATCGAGCTTTGTGCATGCAACTCGACGGTGCTGTGGAAGGCAAAACAAAACTAATTATCTCGAAAAACTGAAATTTGCAACAATACACAACAGTGTTACGATATTAATAATTCAATGTTGATAGTTTTTTTAATATGCGAATCAACGAATTTATGAAAACAAAGACTAATGTGATACCAAGTTTTTGTTGGAGTGCGGTCTGCGGATTTTGTTGAGCCAACCTTCGATGAAACGCAGGAAACCGTCCATCAACGTAATTTGTTCAGCTTGCGTTGGTGGTATATAGATATCACAATGTGGTGAGCCTTCTTGAATTTTCCGCGTCGCATGATTATGAAGTGGCAATAGAAATACGCGAAACCTCCAGTACTTCAAAGCCTATGAGGTAACACGACAATTGTAATCGGAACAAGAATTATTTTCTCTAAAAAGTCATACAAAAATTAACCTCTACTAAAGCAAAATCTGTATCTCCTCTCGTACAAATATAATGGTCTAGATAATTCCAATTGTAAGTCTCAAGCTTTTCAGTCGCAAAAGAGACCCATGAAACTTCATAAGTGTCATGGAACGGTGCGTGGAAACGATATCGATAGTGAATATTGAAAGGAGGATACGGATGCCTGAAAATAATAATAGTCAGTGCTGCTGAACATATATTCTTATTTATAAATGACGCATTAAAGTTTATTTGACGACACCTTGGTCTATATCTCGTTACGCTAATTGCATTTCCACTGAGTGAAATTTTGTGGAATATCCTTCCTATGCTTAACAGGTACTCCTCCTTGTGCTCCGAATCAGTTTGTCTTCCACGCATCACCGAACTGATTGGAGGTACTGAATTGGAACCTGGCGTTGTTATTTGATTTTTGCTCGGAGGTAGAATGATCAATTGGAATCCCTACATAAACCATTCACAAATTATTCATTGGAATCAGATTCAGACTGGCACACTGTAAAATAAAAAATGTACCTGTGCCAATCGCTGTGAAACAAGTTCTTTAAAGACTTCGGCAGTTGACAACGGCTTCCTGTAAATAGCACGTTGCTGGGCGAAATCTGCATTGACGTCGTCTGGCAGGAGATTGTAGTCGGACACAACGTAATCGTTCTGCAAGCTTCTTTTGTCGGGAAAGTAGTCAGTCGTGATGGGTAGACAAGCCGATATCGTCAGCGACTTCCAATCGACGCCTATTTTCGTTGTTTTGCAAAATTAAGATATAACACGTTTTGAAATCCGCGAGTAGAGAAATATACAAGTGTATTAAGACGTTACGTGCTCTATTTGTATATGTCTATTCAAATGTGTGAATTCAAATTGAAGAATAGCACTGGTTACTTGACATATAAAAAATCATTTTATTTTTAAATCAAGCAAAACAAAAATAATATCTGCATGAATTTGAGGTGACATTTTATTCAAGCAAATATATAGACAGTTCGAATACAATAAGCACATGCACACATATAAAGGTGAAATTTGCGTGTCTGTACGTATGTCTGCGTAAATTTACGAAATTAAACTTTTATAACCTACGTGGATATCTGGTGTGTCTACAAGGAGGATTACTTTGCTAAACTGATTATGTGATAGATTATTTTAATAGTTACGGCTAACACCATAATTCTACAATTACTATTCAAGGAGATCCAAATGATATTTTATCAACGTTATTTTCATTAAATGGCAAATATTCACCATTGAATTTTTAAATACAATAATTTTATGTTAGAAATGAAAATTTAGATCTCCTTGGAATAAATCTAATTTCCATGCACTAGCAGCTACAAATAAACATCAGGATGAACATTCAAGAATTACATAACGATAGCGAAAAACGAAGTGATCTATATAATCTGAGTAAGACCGAAGAGCCACAGATTGAATATTTGAGTGTATATTATATACCATAACCGAACGAGTAAACCCCTCGGTAATGTATGAGTCGCTAACCTATGATCGCTGTTTAAAGTGACATCAAGTCGTACATCGAACACGCATCGACACATCCAAGGGCGTTGCATCCCCCGACAGAACGTACCACAGCATGGAAATATAAATTGAACAAGTATTATTACTTCCAAAATGTTTATTGTGCCCTTCTTCCTCAATTAATATCTCTTTGCAAAATGTCTCTCTCTCTCTCTCTTTCTCCGAAATGCACTTGAAAAAAAATAAAAAAATAAAGTCTTGGAAAAGTATTGTTGAACTATAATGAGAAAAACTTTATTTTTTGTGGGTCTGCAAATAAACAAATAAAAGAATAAAAAATAAAGACATTTCAGTTGTCTCGAAAATCTTCATCAGTTCACAAAAAACAAATCACTGCAAGAAAAGCGATAATAATTATTCAGTGTCTCTAAAATAGAACAAATATCGTCAATGCGTCAGCTAAAATATAATTTCGGTTATAAAAAATTGCTTTGAGGCCAAAACCATGATCATGTAAGAATGAAGTTATAATGAGGGAACACAAGAAGCGAGCGCTGTGAATTTGTGATTTGAAAAAAAATGCATCGTAAAATGAAAGGTCAAACTTTAGTCATCGCTTTTTCTGTAAACGCTTCATTGCACGAATTTTGATCTCAATAATATATAATTGAAATTGATTTATATATAAAAAATGTCCATTTTGAAAGGCACTCTGCATCACTTCCTGTTAATTTTTCATAGCATGCCATTTTCATATGACGCACTCGACGAGAAAATTTCGAGTTTACAGCGGTAACGTAATGAAGATAAATGATTTTTTCTCTAGTATTTTAAAAATAAAAAAAAATTATTATATAAACAAGGTAATGAAATTATTCAATAATATTGGTTTAAATGTACGAACCCGTGGTGAGTGCAGGTGTCCACTCCTGTTCACCAGTCGCACCCCAAAGTAATGTTAAACTTTTTGAGCCACTTGTTCTTTTATCAATGGTGTTCGTAAGTGGCAGATTCATGCGCGATTTACTTTTTGTATCTAAATAGTTTGTAATGTGATATTAATAGAGCACAGCCATTAATATAATTTAAATTAGTAGATCAAACTTACGATCATTAAAGCAGATCTGTGAAGCCGAACGCGACATTAAGCCTGCCTGATTATTAGCATATCCATAGTTCGGATCAACAGGCGAGCTACTAAGCATCGACGTTGCATCGTTATTTTGCTCGTGACGCTGTTGATGATGATGTTGTTGTTGGTGTTGTTGTTGTTGAGTAGCAGGCACAGCTTGGTAATGATGTTGCTGAATGAGTACACCGGTAGGTCCTTTGGGAAAGATGTGTGTCCAACGACGACGGTTACTCGTTAGTTTAATTGTTACGTGCGAAGGGTCAAAGGGATTGATGAGAGCTCGACTCGGTCTAACGCCCGCCATTGGCTGATAAGCTGTTGCACTGCCGTTCGGGCTGCCTGCACTTCCTACTACTGGTCTGAATGGAGGTGAAATCTCATTGTCCGTGATGTCACTTTTAAGTGACATACGTGATGCCGCTAAACAATTCAATGTTTAATTTGAATTTATTAAGGAAAAAAAACCGTTGGCTAGTTTAATTACAAATATTTCATATACGCACCTGTTGCTTCGATATTAGATCCGTTGCTCGTAACAGTTTCACATCTAAGTGGAATGCTTATAGCAGCGCTGCGTGAAGTAGAATTTACTATTGGATGACTTTCTGGAGGTGGATGATGAATATCCGGATCTGACATTTTCCTTTTTAGAAGTTTAAGAACATGCGCATTATTGTGAGTTTCCATGCACACAACACTGGTCTTCTTTGTTCTCGTTGACTTTCGTTGCAAGCTCGAAGTGTGAATAGGAGGCAGTTGAAAAACTTGCGCATCATAAGCGTCGTAATCGAAGAAAGAGTTGTGCAAATATTCTCTCGATTCTTCTTGCAGAAGTTTCGTTTTGTTGTTCAGAAGCTTGCCATTACTGATCTCGCAACAGTTCTTTGATATTCGTTGCGGCAATTTAATGCGGGGAATAAAGGTCGAATTGGGAATTTTCTTATTTGTAGAATAAAAACTTAAATTTATCCAGTGAGGCATACTATAGTCATCCGGTACATTCATAGATGAATCTTTATTATGGAACTATGAGATGGAATTATTGCAATTATTTTAATACAAAGTAATATTAAATAATATTGTTGGTGAGGTTTCAAAAAACAAACCTTTAACAATGGAACTGCGTGCAAGGGCTGCTCTCCCACACAAACCAAATCACTTCCAACACCATTATCAATAATCCTCTGCTTTGTCACATTTGTTAGTTCTCTATCTACTTCAAAAACTCCAACCCCTGGAGTGATAACAACTGAAAGCTGGCCTGTTCTATCAAAACTACGATCTAAATAATGTTTTTCAAATACTATAAAATAAAAGCAAACAAACATTTTCATTTTTAATTTCAGTAAAGATCATTCTAAAATCTTGAAAATAATAGTCCTTACCATTTAATGACATATTCAAAACTTCTAAAAAATTGCCTTGAGCTGCTGTTGAATTACTTGCTTTAGGAATAATAACCTCAGATTTGACATTACTACAGTGATACTCTAAAACAATTTTCTGATAATCTGTGAATAATTTTCTCAATTGCACCAACACATTACTCCAATCTTCATATCGCTCATTTTGAACTGCTACTCTGTAAAAATCTTCATAAAATCTTCCTCTGTAATCTTGTTGTAGGCACTCGCGCATATAATGAGGAAACTCATCAAGTTTGCTGGCATTGTAAAATGTTCTTGAAAAAAGGACAATAGTTACTTCATGATTACAGCCATTTTTCTTCCACTTTTGAAATAAATCTGCTAGAAATCCATTCACAGCTTTTTCAAAATAAAGGTCACCATGGATATCAAAGTCCCACATTTCAGAGCTCATTTGAATGAAGAGGTAAACCATACTTGTAGAAGAACGAAAAACTATTTTAGTATCATCAGTTATCACACCACAGGCTACTCTATCTCCCTGAGACCACATTTCATATACTTGACATCGTATGCTTCCTCCACAGAATTCTATTTTTTTATTCATATAAACACATGTGTTGACCTGGAAAGTATTAATATAGAAAAGTTACATATTTATTTTTATAATTAACAAATAGATGAAATACTCACCAGACTATTTTTCAGTCTCCACATCTCACTACGGCCCATATATTGGTCTTTGAATGTTAGTTCTACTGAATCTAATGCAACATCATCTGGATTAACTATATTCATGTATACATCATTAAATGTTCGTAGTTGAAACATGGATGCTATGTTAGATTCAACGCTAATCGTTTCTCTTGTTTGTAAGTCCTCCTTGAAGGAAGTAACCTGAAGCAGCAAGCGGCTAAATTCATCATCAGGATGATATATCTCAACAACATCTCCCTTTTTGATACCAGAATAATCCTTAGGATTGATAATGAGATCTTCTCCACTGAAGGGTTTCTGATGTACAATAAGCTTTAAAAGCTTCATTTTCACTTATCCATTTTAATGATTATTGATGCTGCTAAAATATTTGATGTCAAGTTCTATAGTTTGATAAAGTATTAAAGGTGTCTGCATCTTTGAACAAAATAAATGTAAAAATAAAAGTAACGTCGCAAATATATTTACTACTCACATCATTAAGCTCTACTTGGTAGAGGTATAAAATTTGTGATAAACAACGGCGTTTACATATCCTCTATCTATATAACTACATTCTCATGATTTGAAAACATATAAATTTATTTTCAACATGCACGAATGTTGGCTTACTATATCATTAGATAACTTTTGGAAAATTTTCGAGTTCTATGCAAATCACACATTATTACGGAAAGTTTTGATATAGGTCTAACCTCAGCCGTTCATGATCGTAATTACAACATTGTACAAACAGTGAACAGCTGTGACAGCGAGAAACTGAGAACGGAATTTTCTTTATCTACCTTGGCAGTCCTGTTTATTTACTTTTTTACTGTTAATATTACACAGTCTATTCCAGTCTATTTCAGTCATTGCATTTATATATTGCGATTTAATTGTAATAATAAATTTTATTTATTGTGATTTTCATGCAGATTATCAAAAATTTTTTTTTAATAAATACTGAAATCACTATCTGCGTTGAGTGTCTGAAAAATGAACAAAAAAAAATTAACGTTATTGTTTTAATTTATTTAGGCAATTCATATTTTGGCGCTTGAGAATATGACCAGTGCCGGTTAACTAGTTTTGCAATATAAGCACCGTCTTTATCAGTGAGCGCACGATCTTGTTTTTGCGTTTGTGTATTTATGTACTTTTTTAAACTGTAATCGTGTTTACATGCCAACTGTCCACCGTCGAGTATAGTGAGTAAGCATATTTCACAAGGAAAAATTATCATGTTACGCATAGCAATGGATCAAGTCGTCCGTGGTTTAACGAGTTCCTCCAAAATGTTGTGCCGGAGATTAGAAGGAAAAGTGGCAATTGTCACAGCATCTACACAAGGGTATTAATATTATTTTTGTAAATAATATAATTTTTTTGTTTTTTGACATGAGCATTGTGTGTTCGTAATTTTGATTTCAGCATCGGTTTATCTGTAGCTCGTCGGCTTGCTCAAGAAGGTGCCAAGGTTGTAATAAGTAGCAGAAGGGAAGCAAATGTTAATGGTGCAGTTGATCAGTTAAAAAAAGAAGGACTTGATGTTTCTGGCATTACATGCCATGTTGGAAAAGCTGAGGACAGGAAAAAACTCTTAAATGAGGTATAAACATACTATATTTCAAAATTTTGTTCAATTTTAAATGTAACTTCAGGAATTGTACAATCTGTTTCAAAAAGGCTGTGTCAAAATATGGTGGTTTAGACATCCTTGTTCCAAATGCAGCAGCAAACCCAACAATGGGTCCAGTACTTGACACTAGCGAGACTGTTTGGGATAAAATATTTGAAATTAATGTCAAAAGTACGTTCCTACTGATGAAAGAGTCATTGCCATTATTGAAAAATAGTAAATCACCTTCAATTATTATTATGTCATCAATTGCAGGATATCAGCCATTCAGTGTATGTATAAAATTAAATAAAATGCTTTGCTATATTTTTTTTAATATATTTTTTACTTTTATTTTTTGTAGGTACTTGGAGTTTATTCCATTAGCAAAACAACTTTATTAGCACTTACAAAAACTGTTGCTGAAGAATTAGCAGGAGATGGTATAAGAGTTAATTGTATTGCTCCTGGTGTTATAAAAACTAAATTTTCTGAACCTGTAAGCTCATAAGTCATAAAATGAATCTATTAGTTGTCAATTGTACATTTATTAGTATAAATATTTCCCAGATGTATTCTGATGAAGGGGCTCTTGAGACAACACTTTCTCTCATTCCAATGCAAAGATTAGGAACTCCAGATGAAATTGGAGCAGTTGCAGCATTTTTAGCAAGTGAGGATGCTTCTTATATTACTGGAGAGACCATTATAGCTGCTGGAGGAATGAAATCTAGGCTTTAGATACCGTAAGTCGTGATCATAGTGATCAAATTTAAAATTAAACAAGACTATAAATATGTAAATTTTGATCACGGCTACAATAGAAATAGTACATTGTATATTTTAAATTAACAGGCATAAGGGATTTATGTAAATATGTAAAAGTTTTATACATTTATTTTATTAAAAAATATTTTATATTCAAGTAAAATCTATAAAAAATATCTAAAATTAATATTATGTCAATTCTCCACAAGATGAAATCATAACTTTATGTGTAGGCGTACCGCCTTTTGTTCCGTATTTTTCCATTTTTTTTAAAACGTCTAATCCACTAAGAACATGTCCAAATACAACATGTTTTCCATCGAGCCATTCTGTGCGTGCTGTACAAAGAAAAAATTGTGAACCATTTGTGTTTCGTCCTGAGTTAGCCATTGATAAGGTTCCTGGTCCTGTATGTTTCAGCTCAAAATTTTCATCTTCAAACTTTTGCCCATAAATAGATTTACCACCAGTTCCATTGTGATTTGTAAAATCTCCTCCTTGACACATCTAATATTTGATTAAGGAAATCTATTTGTTCTTAAAAAAGGGAATAAAATTGATATAACAGACATAAATTAGTTATTGGATTTAAAAAAAAGGATACAAATTCTGGAATGATTCTATGAAATATACTGCCTTGGTAACCATAGCCTTTTTCATGAGTGCATAAACATCTAAAATTCTCTGCAGTTTTTGGTACAATGTCTGCTCTCAGCATCATAATTATCCTACCTAATTCTTGTTTGCCAATGCTTATATCAAAGTACACTTGAGGATTTTGTTTTCCTTTTTTACCAGAGTTTTCATCATCTTGTTTAGATGTTTCATTATTTTTTTCTAAAGTTTCACCTGCATGTTCTTGCAGCCAGACATCATCAGCCCAAACAGGTTTTGAAGAACCTTCTTTAATTTTTTGGGGCTTGGCTATATTTACCCTGATTGTACGCCCAAACAATTCCGAATCATTCTGCACAGAAAAAAAAATGTTTACCTTGTAAGTTCATTTATCTGATAACATTTGTAGACTGAAACCAAACTTATCACATTTAGACTTACCATGTTATCAATAGCAGCAGCAGCATCTTCCGCAGTTTCAAATTCTATAAAAGCAAATCCTCTGTGTTTTTCCGATTCATAATCTAATGGAATTTGAATATCAACTATTTCTCCAAAAGGGATGAAGGCTGCATTTAGTATTTTTTCATCTACTTCTTCTGCTAAACCACCTGAATGATAAAGTGATATACATTATAAAATTTTTATTTTATAACTTTTGGAAATTTCACAAGTTATTCACGTATTTTTCATTCTTATTTATCTTGGTATTAAGTGATTTTATCCTTGTAGCAGATTATATAGCAATAAATCATTGAGGGATAAGTACAATTAAGCTTTGTACTATTTATATTTTATTTACAGTTTGAAAGAATACAGAACTTATTTTAATTTCTTCAGGTTACTATTATAATTTTTTTTTTAAATTCCAAAGCAATACATTTTTAAAAAATACTTACAATGGCATTTTTGACAATAAGAAAATATTCATAAATCACAAAATGAATGAAGAATAATATAATTTTTAAAAAAACTTTTTAAGTCATGCAGCATTGATCGTGATGCATTGCATCTTTGAAACGTAATGAAATTTATTTATTAATTAATTAATATAAAAAATATCGATACTACGCACCAACATATATCGTTCTTTTAGCATTTTGTACACTCATTTTTATGAAATAACAGTTACTATTTATGTTTATTAGTAATTAAAATATTTTGTTAATCGACAGCAACGTCGACGTACTACTGTTGTCAATGTCGGAAAATTACAAATGAGGTTAGCTTTTGAGAGTCAATAGAGTGTACATATACGTGTAGGTCGTAAATATATAGGTATATTCTCCGCATTTAAAGCGAAGCGAAATTGATACAGATAAGCAGACGGTTTAGTCGTCTGCTTGTTTTGCTGGCCGACAATTTGTCAAGAGCTGATAATAAATATCTTCATAAGGATTAGTCAATGTACAGAGGCTGATAGTTAAGAGAAAGCAGTGGAACTGTGAAGAAGAATTTTTATTTTAGTATTCGCACAATATAAAGATTTTGTTGAATAGAGGTATGAATATTTGCATATATACACTCACCTACATGGTATAAATTGATATGACTTTCGTAATTGTCTTTTGATTAACACTTTGAATTCACTTATTTCAATATTTAAATTTAGTTACATTATAATGCAATCAAAAGTATATTAACAACAATTTTGCAAAATATTGTTCATTTTATTTATCAATTAAACATTTTTTTAATATTAAGAACATTAATTAAAAAGAACGTTATTCATTATTAATAATTTGGATCATTAAACATCAATCTTTAAATTTGGAAAAATCAATCAGTATTTTTATAAATTGCATTTCATTAAATAAAAATTTTTAGTTAGAATATAATTTATTTACTAATTTATTATATGAACCATTTTTAATTTGAAATATCCTGAAATCTTTTTAAAAAGTATATTGGTACAATATTGATTTAATACTAGATTTTGTAGATTTTTAGATTGTCAAGATGCTAAGTCGATTATCACCAATTCAATCAAACTGCTCAAAATCATTGAGTTTACTAAGCAGAGCAATGAGCATAAAAAAAAATTTGGCATATATTGATGGAAAATGGGTTGGAGCAACCAGTGGAAAAACTTTTCCAGTTATGAATCCAGTAGATTGTTCAATCATAGATTGCGTTCCAGATATGGATGTTATGGATACTCGTTTAGCAATTGATGCTGCTGCCAAAGCATTCCAAACTTTTAAGAAAACTATTGCTAAAGAACGCAGTGATATGCTAAGAGCTTGGTATAACTTAATGATTAAACATTCAGAAGAAATTGCTGCAGTCATGACCAAAGAAAATGGAAAATCTTTGGATGAATCTTGTGGTGAAGTAAGGTATGGTAACTCTTTTGTTGAATGGTTTGCTGAAGAAGCTAGAAGAATCAATGGGGAAGTTTTACAATCACCTTTTAAAAATAGAGAATTGTTTTTAATGAAACAACCTGTTGGTGTTGCTGCTTTTATTACTCCATGGAACTTTCCTCATGCGATGATTACAAGAAAAGCTGGAGCAGCTATAGCTGCAGGTTGTACTTGTGTAATCAAGCCATCTGAGGATACTCCTCTGACTGCATTACTGTTGGCTTATTTAGCTGAAGAAGCTGGATTTCCTCCTGGAGTTATCAATGTCTTAACAACAAGCTTGGAAAATTCAGTTGCAGTTGGTCAAGAATTATGTCAAAATCCCAAAGTTAGAGCTCTTTCATTCACAGGATCTACTGCAGTTGGAAAAATTTTGTATAAACAATGTGCTGACACAATGAAGCGTCTCAGTCTTGAGTTAGGTGGCAATGCTCCTTTTATTGTCTTTGAATCAGCAGATATTAACTCAGCAGTATCAGGAGCAATGTCCAGTAAATTCAGAAATTCAGGACAAACATGTGTTTCAGCTAATAGGTTTTATATCCATGCAAAAATATATGATGAATTTATGACCAAGTTCTTGACTAAAGTAGAGAACCAGATAAAGATGGGAGATGGAAGTAAAAAAGGAGTGACACATGGGCCTTTAATCAAAGAAAGCCAGTTCAAAATAGTTAATAATCTTGTAAATGATGCCAAAGCAAAAGGAGCAACAGTACACTGTGGTGGTAAACCTTTGTTAGAAGTTGGTCCTCTGTTTTATGCTCCTACTGTAATTACTGATGTCACTAGAGATATGGAAATATATTCAAAGGAAATCTTTGGTCCTGTAGCTGTGATACACAAGTTTAATGATGAAGAGGAAGTCTTACAACATGCTAATGAAACCCCTGTTGGATTAGCTGGATACTTCTTTTCTAAGGATATCTCACAAATCTTTCGAGTTGCAAGAAACTTGGAAGTAGGAATGATTGGAGTTAATGAAGGATTAATTTCATGCACAGAAGCAGCTTTTGGTGGAGTTAAAGAGTCTGGTATAGGAAGGGAGGGTTCTAGTCATGGTATAGATGAGTATGTTGATATCAAATATGTTTGTCTTGGAAATGTTGAACACTAAATGATTTGCGAACAACATACGTGTTCTATAATGGAAAGATTCATGTTATGAAAAAGAGAAAAACATGTGATTGTTTAAGAATTTAATCAAATCTGAAAAAGATCAAATAATAAGTAATAATAGGATATTTTATTTTATATTAAAAATATAATTATATTTTCTACAGATATCCAATAGTATTGAATAAGTTTTTTTAAATTCCTTAGATATTTAGTTTGAACATCAAAATTATTCCATAAATTTAAGATTCATTCAAGCTTTCTATTTTTTTAAAATTAGTTCATGTAGAGTTTTGCATTATAAAAAAAAGTATTTCTAATGTTAAAACATTTTCACTATACAAGGATCAACAGTATACCTCAGATTTAATTAGATTTAATTTTATACACATTTAAACGAGAAAACGAATTCATGATATATGGTTATAATGAGAAATTACAAACATATCATAAAAATGGAAGATTATAACTGTAAGAATTTTGAGTCACTTTACAAAACTATTGTTAAAGATAATGAATATTTTCAACTATATTGCATAAACTAATTAAATTATTATCTGTACTGAAATAATTGTTAAGATAATTAAAACTCTGCAAGACAATAACTGTATAGTAATCATAATTTTTATGTTGATTTGTGAAAAATTGCATGTATGAAAATAATTGCATTAATCATTATTGTTACATCCCTAAACAGTAAAAATATTATTTGATATATTGTTTGCTTTTCACGATTAATACTATTATTCTCATTCTCTTAATGTACATTTAAAAGAATGTGAAAATATTACTGTAGTTTCATCGTAAACTTAAGTCATTTTTTTACTCTGAAAAAAATAAGCATTTCACATTCCTTTAAAAAAATTGTTGTTTTAAAAGAAATTCGCTTAAGTGCAAATGATATTTGATTAATATTTGAATATAAATACCAGAATGATCAATCAATATAGTTTTCCATATATATACAGTCTTCCAAAGGGGAGCAATATATCCAATTTTATGTAACAAGGTTTTGTGCAAGAAATAACTAAATTACAAATAAGCATATTGTATTCGTGAGATGTAATAGTAAATACATTACAACAAAAAACGCTTTTTTACACTTTTTCTGAGATTTGACGCTCGAATTAAAGCGTCAACAGTCTTTCAATCCATGTTTTTCAATATACCTTTCCCTTGCTTCAGCAATCATTTTTGTTTTTCTTTCTTGAAAAGTTAATGCTGTATTGCTGGGGCTGCTTGGTTTTGATGCAGAAACAGAGTGTTTGCTTCTAGAACTGCTTGGTGTTGACGACGTGGTGGGTGCTGGTTCTGGAGTGTAAGTCACTATGCCGTCGAGAATGTTGGTAATTGTTACATCAGCATTTCTAGTTTTCACTGTAAATCAAATCAATTAGTTGTAAGTTCATCTGTAATAGGATATTCATATAAAATATTGATACATTTAAAATACTCACTAAGATCTCTAAGTATAACATTGTGCGGTACCCTTGGAAGAACTTCACTCACTTGTCGAACCATTCTTTGCATTTCAATGCTTGCTACAATTTGTGATCCACCTATACCAGGACTTTGGGAGGTTCTGCTATGAACTCTTTCTCTTATATATCGTTTTTCGTATTCAGTCTTATCCGAAACTGTATGCACACTTGTCTGAATATTCAAAGATTGAGCAATTTCTTTTTCAACTTCTCTTACAAGAATGTCAGCATCAGTATTCCTTCTAACTTTAAGAAACTTCACAGTAAAAACGGTATAAGGAACAAACATGAACCACATGACATCCGTCCACCAAGTTGTAGCAATAGAGGTAAGTCTTATATCAACGAATTCAGGTCGTGATGCTTTGAGGACAACAGGTTGAACTGAAGGTTCTATGGTAAAAGGCCAAGTATTAAATTTCAACAATGCTTTACGACTATTTGTTGCACTGAACTCTGGTTGCAGAGCAATGCCAGTTTTAGAACTTGGTAAAAATTGCTTTATTTCTGCAACTAAAGCATCTTTACTGTTCATGTCCATCTTCTGTAAACCAAAAGCATTGCTCAATGCTTCTGGGAAATTTGAAAGACTTGGTGTCACCGTATCTGCAGCTGTTGCAAGAACAAAGTCATCCAGTGCAGAAATGTTGTTAGCAATAATGATGCGTGCTTGTTCATTTCTTTTCTCTCCATTGGGATCAACTTTCACAATAATTCCAAATACAAAAGCAAGACCACGATTGAGGAAAGATCTAAGGATTTGACAATCTGGTAAGACAGTAGCAAAAAGCCACAGTTGCAGGCAAACCAGAAATCTAAGTAGAATAAGTGCTAGTCCAACAGGTATGTAAATCAGTATAGAAAAGAGTTTCCATCCACCAGGGAACCTGAAACGTTGAAATAGAAAGTTGACATATGCATATTTCTCAAAGAATTTGTTAATATAGTCCAAGATGTTCCTGAAAATCATTCATATTTTTAGTGATTGCAACTTTTAGCGTAAAAAATTAGAAAAAACATGGCGCGCGCAGTGATAAACGATGTATTCACGACTCATGAAGGGGAATCAAGTGCAAGACTAGGTAATTCAGAAAATTGCTAAATCAGAACGATGGATTTAAATAAATACACTGACGTCACGGCTCACCTGCTCTCATCGAACAGTTCTTTGATTTCAATTTGTGACATTTCTCATGAAAAACATCTGTTACGATGAGGTTGACCTTTTTATGGGGGGTGATCCACTACTCGATCATCGAGCACCCAACCGATCTATCACGATATCAGGAGGTCCAAGCAGATGGAAGTTTCTTTAATTCTAGCTCTAAAAAAATTCTGATTTTTCGTCACTCAAGTTCTCCCACTAACGTTTAGGATGACCTTCTATTTCATGATCAGCTGTTCAAAGCTTTTGCCACACTCGCGCGATTTCACTCTATAGGTGTGTTCTCATTGTTGCCAGTTACCACTAAGATTTAAAAAATTATAGTGTTTTATCATATGGATAATACAATTTTCACGAAGAACCCGATAAAGTTTTACTGATATAAAAACTCGCGCCTTAAACTATTACCTGTTTGTAATTGATTGTTCATGCGTCAGATCGAGCTTTCATTGTAAGTCAAAAAATATACATCAACTTTTTTATTACGGTTTTCTACATCATCTATTTGCTTATCGCAGTTTTAAGTGATAATTTTTCAAACACATCCTTCAAATATTAGTTTTACAAAATAAAAAATATTTGTATGAAAACTGTTTTACAAAACTTCTATATTTTCAAAGAAATAATACTATTCTTTTGATATAGGGACTTACCTAGAATTTTGTATAGGAAAATTTTTTTTCATTTGTAACCTCACAAATTCATCTCGTACTTTTATTTCAGATCAAATCATGTTGAAAAATTGATGACATTAATATTTAAAAACAAGAAAAACACATACTTTGATAGTAAACATACTTTAATTTATAACACGTTGACATCTTTCACTGCCATCTAGAGAGATGGTGGGAGAGGGAGAAGAGAGCTGGGGAATTTCCCCAAGAATTTAAGAAGTAGCTTCGTCCATAGTTAGAACACGGGCGAAAGTTCGTCGTTCAAAGCAGTAAAAATGTAAATTTAATAGCAATGTGATACCGCATTCAGAGACAACATGTTGAAAAACAAATATCAAAGTCAATGGCGAAACACACTCGCGTAAAGGTCTCGCGAGTTTATGAATTGATCTCTTGAAAAAAAGAATTTCATATGTTGCACAGAGTTTATTCTTCGCATGCGTAAGCGATAAAATTGTATATATCATCACAAGTACGGCGGACGTGCTTGCTAAGAGATTAATTTGTTCTGGTGAGCATTTTATTCTCATTCATATCAGTGTAGGCTGCAAGTGGAAAAATAAGGCTTTGGTAAGATTAATTTATAAAGTTGAAATATTCAATGAATGAGTTTGAAATGACAGCTGTCGATCGTGTGCATGAGTAATTACTTGTCTGACGTTTTTACTTTTTTCCTTGTAGCAAATTCAAGTATAAGGTGTGAGAGTAATGGCAGCTGGAAAAGTAATCTCGAAAAGGTACCAAATTGTCGTTAGTAGCAGGTGAGCCAGCTCATTCACTATCATGAAAACGCCCCCATCACAACCTCAAAACGGTGGAGGTGGTACTGCCACAATTGCTGTCAAAAATGGAGATGAGAATAATACTCGTTATCCTCGTACTGTCAAGTCCAACAATTACATCAATGGTGCTCCAAAAATAGGTAAACAGCAATTGGTTTCTCTAAATGGTGATTCAATTTGCTGCAACAGTGTAAACAACGATGAAGCCTTAGCTTGTGATGTGACACCAGCACCAACAAAAACTAAGACCAAAGCATTATGCGTGCATATCAGAGAGAACAAATGGTACGATGCTGGCAACGTCGTATCAGTAGGAGTTGCTGGAACGAGCTTGAACAAGGCTCTGGAAAGTATGTCTTTGGCTTATAGTCCAACAACAAAAACTATATATTCTCTGGATGAGGTACCAATGATAAATGGTAAAGAGTTGTCTCATTCTGGTGACTCATTACCCACCCTACGAATAGAGATCGACACCTGCTTGACTAAAGAAGACTTGCAGAATAGTAGCAATAATAGTTCTAGAAATAGTTTACCTCGTTCGTGCAGCAGCACAGTGTCATCTCTTAGTGAGTGTTCACCAGCCAATAGTCTAGTGGGCAGCAATGATGATTCACAAGTCTCTCCCAAGTCCAATAAGTCATGGATTCTCAACTCAGGTTTCATGAAAAATGTGTTCTCTTGGAAGGCCAAAGATCCATCACAAACGCAGCCAAACAGCCCATCTCGTAACTCTGATAAAATAGGTGGTAGTCTTGCACTTATCCAGCAGTGTCGACCAGCCAATTTACCGGCAAAAAGCGCAACGGAGGAGGAGAATCACCGTCGCCAGTATAATGCCATTCTTGAAGCTGCACGCAAACGAGAACAGCGAGAGGAGCGTGAACGGCGTCTTCAACGAGAAATGCAACTGCGAGAAGAAGAACGGCTAGCCGAGGATTCGCAGACATGGACTGGGCAAGTGCTTCCTCGCTTTGACATCGTCAAAGACACCAAAAAGGTTCGCGACCTATGGTGGCGAGGTCTACCACCGAGCATCCGTGGTAGAGTCTGGAGATTGGCAATTCACAACAGCCTGAATTTGACTCCGCATCTGTACAATTTATGTCTGGACCGAGCTATGTCGAATCCACAAAACGAGAGCCTCGCTTCCATTAAACTCGACGTCTCACGAACTTTTCCGACTCTATGCGTTTTCCAAAACGGTGGTCCACTATCCGAGAGCTTGCAGGGTATCTTGGCAGCTTATGCGGTTTATCGGCCTGACATTGGTTATGTACAAGGCATGAGTTTCATCGGAGGGGTGCTGTCGCTAAACATGGACGCGCCAGACGCTTTTATCTGTTTCGCTAATTTGCTCAACCGGCCTTGTCATCTCGCCGCCTTCACTCTCGATCAGCGACAGATGGGCGTCTACTACAAAGCCTACTCCAACGCTCTGGCTAATAAATTGCCAAAGGTCTATGCCCACTTCCTCGCTTCGGGTCTTACTCCCGACCTCTACCTCCTTGACTGGCTGTTCACCATTTACGCCAAGTCTATGCCACTGGACGTCGCCTCTCGAATTTGGGATGTGTTTCTACGTGATGGAGACGAATTTTTGTTTAGAACAGCACTTGGAGTTTTGCACCTATACCAGGATGAGCTACTGAAGATGGATTTTGTCAGAGGAGCGCAGTTCTTGACGAGACTACCTGAGAACATGCAGGCGGACGCGTTGTTCAACAGTATTAGTCAAATGTCAACGGTCATCGGAACGACCACCTTCCAGCAGATGTTGGCGCAAATTTCTGCCACGGCTACGTGAATCCGAATATCTTTCGCGCGTAACTTTGGTTTCTGAGATGACAATGATGATGTTTCAAGGGTAAGAAAGTTCCATTGGCCGCGGGACAAACGTTTAGCTTTTTATTGAGGTTGATTGAGTCGGTCAAGTCAAAATGGATAATGGTTTTTATTGATCATCATTACAGATCTTTTACTGCCACTTATTATCCGTGTATATCACATATTTTTTTTAGTTTGTTGCCGGTGTCTATTTGCATTACAATCTTTGTAATATATTTATATTTATTTGTTTAATCTGTACAGTTATTGCTACATTATCTAAGTTTATCTCGAATTATTTCTATGTACTCATTGCAATCGCATGTGAAATAAGTATAAATACGAATAATTTTATTTACACTCGAATATATTTTAATATGTTTTGTCTGTTGACGTACTAATTTTACTATAATTGAATATTTATGCACTTGTGTGATACATTCCAATACTGATGGAACTTTCTGACTCGATCAATTTGAGCGAATCGTTTGGCTGATTGATCTTTTGCGTTGCGACAGAGAGGAAACAAAAATAAACGCTATAGTACTGAATCTAGTGCCAAGTTTCCTAAACGTGCACGCTTTTATCAGCTTTTTTTCTCATTGCGGACGAGAATCTCGGTAGTTTTTTAAACGGTTTACACGTATTTTTTAACTATGTGATAACTGAGAGGAATTATTAAAAGCTGTAACTTTAAGAAACCTCGTGGTTCGAAAAAAATAAACGTAGTGTATATTTTTCGTTTGTACGAGAATCATTTTACAAAAGTTATTTCTATCTATTTTCATCCACCAAGTCTAGGCATTAGGATATAAAGTAATGAAAATAATGCTCGTTTTTGCTGAGGATTGCTTTTTAAAAGCCAAAGAAAATTCATTCTACGCAGTTTGAGTGATCTCTTTTTTGATACGAAAGATGAACCGATAATGAATACTTTAATAGCAATATTTTGTGTATATTATGGTGATTTTTGTAAACTACGAGTTTTTTTCATTGTAGTGCTAAATAACGTGTTTAAAGCAGAACTCAAGCTTATCAAATGATTATTTTCACGCTATTATTGACATATCGAAAAAAAGAAAAAAATATAAAGCTCAGCAAGTCTGATCGTTTCAACGTTTGATAAAATTATAAATTGTGCAATATCGAACCTGTTTAAGATTGCTGTTAAACACCGTAATATTCAATTTCATCAAATTACATTTTGTTGTTTTTTTATTGTTATGAGTATGTTTTTTTGTTTATTTTATGTTATTTTAAGAAAAAATTGCAATAACGTGCAACGAAGAATTCTTAGAAAAAAAATATATAAATTGGAGTTAATAATTTGAGAATGCTTTAAATTGACCAGTGATCTGTGAACGTTTTATCATTTTCAATGAAGATTGTCTGCTCATTGAGTGTAATAAACGCGCGGTTATTGAACTATTGAGGGAGTCATTCAAGATGTCTGGGAGAATAATGTATCACGTGAAACATTGAAAAGTAGTAAATTGAGAGTTCACGAAAAATTTAAACGTACGGTAGTAAAGATTAGACTTATTTGATTTTTTTTATATAATTCAGAGGTCGACGATGATACATATTTTTGTAACACGCTCGAAGTGCGATAGTTTTGCTTAGAGCTGTGAAAAGCTACGTAGTAGTTTATTGGGGGGAGGGTAGGGGTGGGGGATAGAGATGAATACTCGTGATGAGTAATTGTGGACTGAAAATGAGGGAAGAATCAATCTGTCCATACAAGTGAAACATGCTCTTGCTCTAATATAACTCGACATATATAGCTAAAAACACATAAGATTGAAGCATAATAATTATATAAAAAAATATCACATACACGCGGTCACATAAAAAAGTCTATACATATATTTATCAAAGAAGCAATGCTGAGAAAGTAAAATAATATAATTATTTTCGTGCATCGTCTTATTGGTGTGGAAAACTGTCTAAAACTGAAAAGGAAAGAAGTAACCAGATCAGCTTGAGAACCGTCCTTAGTTTAAGGAGGTATATTTACCTACTACATATTTGCACGCAAATTATACGGAAAAGAATTTATAAGAAAATCAAAATATTGGAAGTAAAGAATCTTTTTTAGCAATACAAGTTTTAAGAGCACGTTAATTCGTTTACGTTTTTGTACATATTCGACATACTCGGTACACTCATACATTATTTTGCTTGTACTGTATTTTACAGAAAGAAGATCAATACATGCACCTGTAATTGCTTGTAATACATGTGACTAGATATTATATTTATAGATAACGATGTGATTCTGACTCTTGAAAGGAGGATAACAAAACTCGCGAATGCATGGCTTAGACTTCTACATGTATCAACTACGAAGTCGTATATTCTTTTTTCTATGTGCGTTACTTCGGTACTAAAAACGAATCCCGACGATTCCATTATTGTGTAGGCAACGAATATAGAGTCTAAAAATGCGACTACATTTCTAATGAAGAAATTTAGTCTAGGCTCGCTTTTGTTCGTTTTGAAAAAAAATTGATGCTTCGGAAACGTATACATTGATTAGCTAATATAAATGATACTGCAAGCAGGTGGAAGTGATGATAGATATTTACAATGCTATAATTGTTCAATTTGATTGAAAGTGAAACCTACTATCCTCTTTGAAGTTTCTAAACAAAGTAAAACCTTTGAAAAATGAAATATATTTGCGTACCTGTAAGTCTAATCACGGTATATTACACTTAAATTTGTCGAACGGTAAAATCATCTATACATCTTTATAGCACAAAAACAATACTTTTGATACATAGATTTAGTTATATCATCAAACATTGATATCTATAATTTTTGTTTATCACTTATTTCTAAAATGAAAAAGTAAATATTCGTCACTTTTATCAATCTCATACAGATGCACAGATGAAATTACTTGTCGAGAATATCCTTCAACTATAAATCATTGCTTCATGAAACAAAAATTCAACCTGCATCTAATCAAAGTTTACGAAGGAAAAGTGCTTTAGAATGTAAAAGTGGAATTTACAAGGTACAGGAGTATAGTAGCAATCATTAGAAAAAAGACGAAGAAAAAACATTAGGGAATATTTTTGAGCGAACTTTTCTCTGGTGATGAGTAGAAAATTCAGATTCGCTGGAAATGTAAAAAATTGAAGCACAGTAGCAAAGGTATTTTTGAAATACTCGGAAAAAGGAGCATTAGTCCTCGTGAAACTTTGACATTAGTACATCGACTTGTTAACTATTAAGTATATATGTATGTATGTATGTATGTATGTATGTATGTATGTATGTATGTATACGCGATCTGTGCGTTCTATAAATATTGTAAATAAGCTTTGTTATTTTTTATTACAAAGAAAAATAAGAAAATCAACTAATTGGTAATGGCATGAAATCATCTGATAATAATTTATAATCATCGCTTTCGAGCGCCATGTATTATGTATTATGTACCTTCGCTGAAGACGTGTGCCTAACCGAATGTACGAGACTCGCTCTATATCTATATAACTCTGTCTAAATACCCCCAAATATACACTGTGTATCTATCGAAACACATGCGTCGTATGATATATACGTATATATATCTACATCATCGGACAATACTCGAAAAATAAAAAAAATCCAGCCAAATTTTCTACGCGTGTGATTGCATCATATACGCGATCACGTACCGAGACGGCGAACGCGGGTTTGCGAGCGCTTTTCTTTTTAATTAGTTGATTATTCCACTTTGTTCGGTTCAATTTTATTTTTCTACTCTACGCTTAAATTGACTCGTTACTGAACACAATATTCACAGATAGATGTCTATTTTTACGAGTTTATTATATCTTAGATTAGTTGGAATAGTAGGTTATATTTTTTCGATAATAGAGTGGCGATATGGTAGCGCAAAATTAGATTATATATTTATGAAAAGGAATTATTTACGAGCTAGTTTATATAGACTTAGAAATGCATTTAATGGGACGATAGTTACTAAACTCATAAAATTAGTTTAGAAATCTATTTTTCGGCGTAGACGGGATGCAGATCAAACTATTTCATAAATCAAATGAAACAAAAGAGTTGGCTAGGAAGAGCACACACACATTGTGATAATAGAACGCAGTTTTATTATTCGATAGAACTGATCCAGTTTAGCAAAGTCGGTAACGGAATTATTTTCCGTGCATAATTTAACCGTGTGCAGCAGCGGCTGGACCAAAAGCTTGTTTAATTAACGTCAAAGTCGAAAAAAGAAAGGCGCTCTGATTTGGCGGTGAAACTATACTTGAAAACTCGAAACTCCGCGCGTAACGTCAGGGCTAATCATCATTAGCGCGCGCAAAAGTTTTCTCTGGGCGCCTATCGCATTGAAAGGCAGTCCGCGTTTCGCATTATAAACGCGGTTTCCCGTGTAAATATTGGCCACGTCTGCACACGGACAAGTAGGTTTAATCAGCGACCGGTCTGTGTTTAGCTTTTATCTGATTCTCTCGCGTTTATGGTTTTTCGAAATTCGCGAGCGGATAAGAGCCCCAATGCGACGAAAAAGAAGAGCGCTCGCGAGATAACGGCAAGTCTTCCTCTCTTTTTAGAAATGTTCGTTCTCCATATAAGGCAATTGACTTTGTACGCCTGTGCCCGTAAGGTTTTCATGTGCGCTCGTATCATTCGAGGACACGCTTTGCCCCTTTGTAGCGCGGAAACTGCAGCTGGCTTTTACTCGAAACGCAATAATTTAGCACAATTTGCTTTGCGTAAATTGCCAGCGACGAGGATAGTTGGAGAAACTCTTCGGGACGTATGATAATAAACACACAGGTGGGTTAATTTCGCAGGCGGCCGGTTTTCACGTGGCAAAGCGCAAATAGTGTCCTCGGAGAGTGTCACAGAGAGATAATGACGATGTACTACCTTTTGGCTTCCAAAATACCGTTTTTGTATGAATCCAATTGCGTTCACCGCGAAAGCTTTGGAGGCGAGACTGCGACGATTAAAACTCTATACCGAGGACCATTATACCTGCATGAGGATAGCAGCGAGGCAATAGTAACGTAACGTTGTAAATAAAAGAATAAACCCATGGTCCACACGATGATTACGTATATCCTCGAAGAGCAAAACACGCGCGCAACTTTTACTCTCAAACTATATACACGCCTGTGAATGACAAACTAAATTATACATCGTATATATGTATTTTCCTGTGTTGATTAATTTTCGATGCTAATATGGCGGTCGGCGAGAGAGGACGATTGCGATATGCACGAGAACAGCTCGCACTACGGATTACTATATATGCCCGTGCAGCTAATCTATATGCCTAGGAATTATTTTAGACGCGATGATTATCTGCCGAGCGTCGCAGCATTGCAAGAAAATATATTTATACATTATTTGTGAATGACTTTTCGGATGCACCGGCGAAGAACAATAAAGCATGATTATGAAATAATTGGCTTATTTTCTTGTTGCAATCCCACCTCTCGTACTCTAGGAAACGCCACTACTGCAATATTCAATCTTTCCTCGGTCTGGCATTGCTTACCTTGCGAATTGCAAAGTGAAAGGACTTTGCCAAGGAGACGTTAGTCTCCGATATCGATGAGAGAGTGCGCCACGGTGTCTTATTCCTCGAGAAATCGCCTGCCGGCAATTCAATCATAAAAACATAGCAACTTGAAAAAGGAAGGCTCTTCTTGCGATCGTTTCGACGAGCAATCGACTATAAGAATAAACAAACAACCAAGCGTTCCAATCGCAATCCTGGTGCGTCGGTCCGCGTGCACCTGATTACCATACGAAAGAAAAAACCTCGAGCGAGTCGGAGAGGATCGTCGAAGCAAAGCACGAAATACTTATCCCCTTACAGCATCGCTCAGCGCAAAACGAAATTCGCAAAATTCATACTCGGCGCGAGCTGTATACACTTGCCTCGCCGTCGCAAGATAGCAGGCGTATCGGATTTATTTGCTTGGCACACACACACACACACACACACACACACACACACACACTTGACTCGGAGGAGCTGCGATATGCAGGTATTTTCAGTTGACTCCGTGTTTGAATAGCTCAGCAAAGGCAGAGCGAAGAGCGGGCGATCGCATCTCGCGACCGCGAGCGCACAGCCTAGCTCGCGCTCGAAGTGCCGGGGCGCCAGGTTACAGATCGTTGGAGCGTAAAGTGCGCGGTGGCCGAAATTCAGCTGCTAATCGGCTGTTAAACATCTGCGCGCGAAGTGACATCGTCGGCAGATCTCACGAATGTAATAATCGGCCGCGAGTACGCGCGCGCGTGTCTTGAATTCTCTCCGTTGGCCCTGTAATTACGTATAAACAGAGGGGCTAGTATAGAGGGCCAACGTGTTTCCCCCTCCGTCTCTCTCTCAGTGGGCACAGCCTATAATCATCGCAGGCCCGCCCCTTGTTTGCTTGTATAATTACCTGTGCCGCGCGCGCGCGCGCGTGGTCTCTCCTCCCCGCTGCTTCCACCTAGCAGCAGACCAATCCATCCAGTCGCCTGCGTCCGTCCGTCTTTCCGATCTCGTTTGCTGCTTCGACGTTTCACTTGCCGCTGCCTCGCGCTTTTGTATGCATGTATGCGCGTGAGCAAGACGGAGCTCCGACAGCATCGCTGTACGT